TTAGAATGAGAACTTTAATTTAATTGCAAGATACAGCTTATGGTGTGGCCTGGGAAGGAAGTACCTCTTGAAGATAATAGTCACTATTTTTAGACTGACTTAAACAGAGAGAGAAAGAGTGATGTTTACAATCTTCCTTTAGCCTTAGACTAGGAGATGCACTCTCTCAAAGTATCTCGTTACTTACTGGTTACTCCAGAGAGGTTTTTGAAAGCCCTTTTAAAGATACTTTTAAAAATGTATTTGTAATGAGTAACTGACTCAGCCCTAGGTTTAGAGAAAGACTCCTTCTCGGTTCCATTGCAAAATAAATATAACAGCTTTACTAAACAAAAATAGATTTTCCATAGTAAAACTCGCTCAGAACAATGGCACATTCCTGGGCCTGGGATTCAAAAGTGGGTATTAATTCAAAGCAGCTGGACGCTGGGATTGAGAACAAGACTGTCCTGTCTTCGTGCCTCAGCCCTGCAGAATTTGATGTGTGATAATATTTTACTGCTTTTAAGTGTGAGAGGGGGTGGGGGGAAGAGAGAGACTCTAGGAAAATTCCAACAGAGACTGTAAGAAATATACATACTTTGCAACCTTATATCCACATTTTTTTCCTTAAGATTTTATTTATTTATTTGACAGAGAGATCACAAGTAGGCAGAGAGGCAGGCAGAGAGAGACAGGGAGGCAGGCTCCCTGCTGAGCAGAGAGCCCAATGCGGGGCTCGATCCCAGGACCCTGGGATCATGACCTGAGACGAAGGCAGAGGCTTTAACCCACTGAGCCACCCAGGCGCCCCTTTATGTCCACATTTTTGCATTGAAGAAAAACTCACAGAGAGATCATGCTTCTTTAACATAAAAGGTAGACCTGTTCCCTCTGATTGTCTGATTTGTTTTCTTCTACTCGACTAGCGTCCCAGGGCTGGAGTTTTACACGTTTTTCCCAATTTCAGCTTCTTCCACAGTTCCCATCTAGGGGTTCCCTGGTTATGTCTCGGAATCACTGCAGATAAAGCTTGTAAAGGGCATCGCAAAACTGTTACGAGTTAATGTGCTTACGAAAGCAGTTATATAACCCAAGTGAACACATTATTATTAGAGATTTAGGGGAACTGAGAGGAGAGGATCATGGCCACTTCCAACCAGATGGTGGTGGGGTACCTCCAGCAGGGCGCCCGCCGGTTCTCATGAGTAAAACATTCCATGGTTAGTATGATGGGTTTATCGTTAGGAAGCTTGTGTCTGCTCGTGGGGTGTGTGTGTGTGCAGGTCTGTACGTGCAAACCTACACATGCATAATGGTGACATTCTGCTCTCTGTTTCAGACCTTACGCGATTTTAAAAATTCACCAACTTAGAATAATTTCCCCCCAAATAAATAAGGGGACTCTTGTCTTATTACTTGTTACTTTTATTTACCGAGAGGATGAGGAAACAACCCACCCTCCCCTTGAATTTTGGGAAGACTATTTCTGAGGAAGTTTTGTAAAGGAAATAGAGAATTTTTTAGAAATCTGAGGTCTACCTCAGAGTTTCCTTGTTTTGTTTTTTTTCCATATTCATAATAAAGTGATACATGATAAACTCTTAAGTAATTGAAAGGGTTAAAAGGCTTTTTGTGTTGGAAGCATTAGGGGAACAGATGGTGTGCACACAGGTGGGGAAGCTATGATTTAAACAGAGGAGAGCTAGTGTAGACTGGAAGGGCATGGATTTTTGAGGGGAGCTGGGGACTTAACATTTTGGGGACCAGATTATTATAGTTACTAGTGGACACAGTAGAAGCAGAAGCCAGAGTGTATGGCCGTGGGAGGGAGTTAAAAGGCTGCCAACAGGGGCGCCTGGGTGGCTCAGTGGGTTAAAGCCTCTGCCTTCGTCTCAGGTCATGATCCCAGGGTCCTGGGATCGAGCCCCGCATCGGGCTCTCTGCTCCGTGGAGAGCCTGCTTCCTTCTCTCTCTGCCTGCCTCTCTGCCTCCTTGTGATCGATCTCTCTGTCAAATAAATAAATAAAATCTTTTAAAAAAAATAAAAGGCTGCCAACAAAGAGGACGGATATGGCCATTGAACTAACCAAGGGGAGATGAGAAGGGGGTAAAAGTGGTTTTGAGATCCCAAAAGGCCTTGAGAACTTCAAAGAACTTCAGATAATAAGGAAATCAGTTTGGAAATATTTATATGGTTAACCTCTGAGAAGTGTTCGAGAAGAGAATGAAGGAGGCAGCAGTGAATGACCACGCTGGGCTTTCACCATCATGCAGATGAGTGAAAAGTGTCAAGGAAGTGAAAATCAGATGAACCCTCCAAGTCACAGAGGCAGGAAACCATAAAGAACACCGCGATGCGCAAAATCTGGTCGTGGACGCTACCGATGATCAGACAGCAAGTGGGCCATCGGCTTTTCCTTTTGAGCATGTCGGTGTTCTTTTTTGTCCTTTTAAAATATGAGTGGGTTTGGGGCGCCTGGGTGGCTCAGTGGGTTAAAGCCTCTGCCTTCAGCTCAGGTCATGATCCCTGAGTCCTGGGATCGAGCCCCGCGTTGGGCTCTCTGCTCAGCCGGGAGCCTGCTTCCCTTCCCCTCTCTCTGCCTGCCTCTCTGCCTACTTGTAATCTCTGTCAAATATAAATAAAAATCTTTGAAAAAATAAAAATAAAATATGGGTGGGTTTAGTAAAACGAAACAAAAAAGAAAGAAACAAAAAGTTCCTGTAGTTACACTGGAACAAGGCCCTTTTCCTGTTGTGTTTTTGGCTCCGTGGGGTAGTTGGCCAAGTCACCTGCAGGCCAAGCCACTTCTGCATCTGGCAGGGGCTAGTTTTTGCCCTGCGTGAACCTCAGAGTCTGTTAGAGATTCAGGAGGGCATATTTTTTAAAACATATCCAAAGTGCTAGATGCATCCACAGTGGGCTCACCAGCGTAACCATCGGTGGTCTTTGTAGATGACGTCAGAGTTCACAGGCTTTCTGTCCAGGCTTTAAAATCAATTCTGCAGGGCACCTGGCTGGCTCAGTGGGTTAAGACCTCTGCCTTTGGCTCAGGTCATGATCCCAGGGTGCTGGGATCGAGTCCCGCATCAGGCTCTCTGCTCAGCAAGGAGCCTGCTTCCTCCTCTCTCTCTCTGCCTGTCTCTTGCCTACTTATGATCTCTGTCTGTCAAATAAACAAATAAATAAATAAATAAAATCTTAAAAAAAAAAATCAATTCTGCGGGGGCACCTGGCCAGCTCAGTCAGTGGGGTGTGTGACTCTTGATCTCTGGGTCGTGAGTTCAAGCCCCACATTGGGTGTGGAGCCTACTTAACTAAAAAAAAATAAATAAAATCGATTCTGCAGTTTGCCAACAGTTGCCTCCTTTCATGTGGGTGTGTGATTAACCAACATGTGAATTAGAAGAAACAAACGTATGAATTTTATTATTGATTATTTAGGAGAAAATCAGTGCAGGAAAACACAAAATAGCACATACTCATATCCAAGCAAAAACACAAAGACGGCGTCATATTTACTACTTCTTCAAAACGTATACCAAAAGCAGGGCCGCCTGGGTGGCTCAGTGGGTTAAAGCCTCTGCCTTTGGCTCAGGTCGTGATCCCAGGGTTCTGGGATCGAGCCCCACATCGGGCTCTCTGCTCGGCGGGGAGCCTGCTTCCTCCTCTCTCTTTGCCTGCCTCTCTGTCTACTTGTGATCTCTGTCAAGTAAATAAAATCTTTTAAAAAAATGTATACTAAAAGTAAAGTCTACATGCTTCCCTGGCACAGCTGTGGAGTGTGCACCTCTTGATCTCTGGGTTCAAGCCCACACTGAGTGTAGAGATTACTTAAAAAAATAAAAATAGGGACTCTTGGGTGGTTCAGTTGGTTAAGCGTCTGCCGTCAGCTCAGGTCATGATCCCAGGGTCTTGGGATCGAGTCCCACATCGGGTTCCCTGTTCAGTGGGGAGCCCGCTTCTCCCTCTGCTTGTGCTCTCTCTCTCTCTGATAAATAAATAAACAACATCTTAAAAAAATAATAATAAAAATAATTTTAAAATAATAAACATTGTGGAGATTATTAGAAAGGTCTGTTTAGATCAGGGCTCCTGTGCCTTTGTAATTCATGAACCCCATTGAGAATTGGATAAAAAAATTTTTAGATTGGGGCCCCTGGGTGGCTCAGTTGGTTAAGCGTCTGCCTTCAGCTCAGGTCATGATCTCAGGGTCCTAGGATTGAGCCCCACATCAGGCTTCCTGCTCAGCAGGGAATTGTTTTGCTTTGTTTTGGTTTTTCAAGGTTTTATTTATTTATTTGACAGAGAGAAAGACAGCAAGAGAGGGAATACAAGCAGGGGGAGTGAGAGGGGGAGAAGCAGGGAGCCCAATGCGGGGCTCGATCCCAGGACCCCAGGATCATGACCCAAGCCAAAGGCAGATGCCTAATGACTGAGCCACCCAGGTGTCCCTCAATAGGGAATCTTGCTTTTGCCTCTCACTCTTCCTCTGTGCACTCGCTCTCTTTCTCTCTCAAATAAATGAATAAAATCTTTTTAAAAATTTGTGGATTCCCTCATCCCCTCCTTAAGGAAAAGGAAAACTATATATATATATATATATATATATATATATATATATATATATATTATGTGTGTGTGTGTGTGTGTACACATATATATATAATATAAAGTATATGTACATAGCATAAAAATATATATGAGCATAGGTTCCCACAAGGCCCACCTAGGTAAGATAAATATGTGAATTGGACCAAGTGCAGACAATAAAGAAGAGAGACACTTGGTCAGACTGGAAAGTGATGCCAAGTGAAGACGACAGACAATGGCAGGGTTTGTGAAAAACTAGGGTGCACATCCTTACCTAAACTAAATTCAAATTCCAAACAATTTCTAGAAAATAACACCTGCCCGGTAGAACACATTTGAGGTAAAGTGGACTACAGACCCCTCTGGTTTGCAATTCTAGGCTCTTATCCTATGTAAACATGGGGGTATTCTCATTTTTTGCCCCAAGGCGCGACAGCAAGCTCAAGTACGTCACCAGATGGCGGAGGACAGCAAAGCTGATTACTCAACCATCCTCCAGAAGTTCAACCACGAGCAGCACGAGTATTACCATACTCACATCCCCAACATATTTCAGGTAAGTCATTCAGGCCTCTCAGATCGGCTTTGGCTTTAGAGACACGTAGCTTTGGAATCCTGATGGCTGGGCTTACCTTCTGAGAATTTACAGAATTCTAAATTTCCTCCAAATGAAGCCACTTTTGAATCATCCAGGGAGTGCCTGGGTGGCTCTGTCGGTTAAGCATTTGACTCTTGATCTCAAGTCTTGATCTCAGGGTCATGAGTTCAGGCTCTGTGTTGGGGTCTGCTCTGGACATGGAGCCTCCTTTAAGACCCTGAAATTAAAAAAAAAAATATATATATATATATATATATATATATATATATAGCATTGACTGGCAATAAGATGAAATATAATATAATAATTTATATTATAATATATAATATTAATCTCAAGGTCAGTCAGTGACCTTTGCAGTTGTCCTCCATTCACACCTGCAGCCTTTCTTTGCCAGTCTTAGAAGTGCAATTCTGAGATTAGCGCCCTCTTTGCTAAAAGGAGCATTCGGATTACAAAATGCCAACTTAATTTTAGGAGTCCTAGTAGATCATACAGTTACAGGATTTGAACAAATACAGTCCTTGTCTTTGGATTGTTTTTCTTTTGGGCTACTCTAGATTGTCAGAAATGGCATGAGTAGAGTTGGAGACGTGTTCTCCCACTTTGGGAATCTTTCACGACTTGTGTCCGGTTGTGGAAAAAGTAACAAGTATTTGCTTCTTAGTGTCTACTCCCACTGCAAACAAGAGCCTCCAGCTCGTAGACGGAAGATACACTAGTTACCTCTCAGCCTGTGTTGGGTTGAGACCATTAACCAACACCAGGCTTTTGGTAAAGTAATTACCCCAATCAAAGGTGGGGAGATGTTTAATGTGTCCCCACATGGCATCAGTGATAAAAGCACTTGAGCTTGGGGTTCTCACTGAAATTGGAGAGGAACCCTGGAAGGTACACATTTGGACAGCCTGACCCCTCTAACATATGTGTGCAGCCAGTGAAGAGGGAGCCAGTCATCAACTCCAACCCTACCGACTGGCCTATTTCCATCCCAGATGATTTGCTCGAGGTGACAGTACTGCTGCAAACAATTCCCGTGAGTCACAGTGGACCAGACTAATTTCGTGCAAAATCTAATGTTGCAGAAAATACAGGAGATGGAGGAGAGGAGGATAGTAAGGATTGGGGAGTCGATGAAGACGTACGCGGAGGTCGATCGGCAGGTGATCCCAATCATTGGGAAGTGCCTGGATGAAATCGTGAAGGCAGCGGAGTCCATCGATCAGAAGAACGTAAGTATTACAGTTTGGATGTGATTCACAACGAAGGGTTTCTGGTTCCATTGTTTCTTCACTGCTGTCCACAGTGAATCATCTCGAGATGGGTGGTTCCTTCCAGGGCTCGCGAGTACTTTGCAGCAGTAGTAACAGCACTTTCGAGTGTTCTTTTGTGCCCTCAGGGTTCTGGATATAGCTCCCGAATTTCTTTTCCAGAAAACACAGATAAGTCTGAGCCATTGCAGAATGGTCAGTTGGCTGAGTAACCCCCATGCCAGAATCTGGTTCTGTAGGGCACTGTTGACATTTTGCTGGCCGGATAATTCTCTACTGTAGGGGCCTGTCCTGAGTGCTACAGGGTGGTTAGTAATATCTGTGTCCTCTACTGACCAGATGTCGTTAGCACCCTTCCCTGGTTGTAATGGTCAGAAGTGTCTCTGGATGTTACCATATGTCCCCTTCGGGACACTGTCATCTCCGTCTGAAAACACAACTCAGGGCCAGTGTCATTCATTTGGATTACTTTCCCAGAAACCTATTTCCCTCAACAAAAATATCAGCTAGGTCACCAGCATAGGCTTTTACAAACATTTATTAATTTGCAAAACCAAATATCTAAGAAAAAGCAATGTCGTAAGTATTCTTTGTCGTAAGAGCATCTTAAAATGAGTCTAGGCAAGGGATCAAAGCCATCTTTCCTGTGTGAACATACCTTAGCATATAGATTCTTCATTCCTCTAAGGATGTTCTAGGTGTATTACCATATTTAAGGCCATCTGTGTAAAAAAATAACTATCGACCCAATGTGCAGAAACATTTCCAAACGTGTTAACTAATAAGTGTTTGTAGGAGGAATGGTTCTAGTAGCAGGCATTATTTTTTTTTTTTTAATTTTAGGATTCCTTGATCTCTATTTTATTAACATCTGTTCACCTGGAGCCTCCTTCTTTGGTGATTTCAGCTAACTTTTTTGGGGAAAATTTCTAGTGCTTATTAATTAATGGTGTTTCCCCCACAAAACTACATTATGCTAAGAAGGAGTTGCAGGTGATCAAACCATCCGTTCCTTATGCTGAACACATGTCTTGGTTGAGACACATGTGACTGGTAATGCCCCCAGGCAGTCCGGTATTTCATTTTCTTGCCACTGTTACTTCATCGATTTTGGACATCTCTGCTTCATCAGTTTCAAAGTCGTTTTTTTCTTTTTTCTAAAGATTTTCATTTATTTATGAGAGAGAGAGAAAGCATGAGCAGGGGGAGGGGTAGAGGGAGAGGTAGGCTCCCTTCTGAGCTGGGAACCCAACTTGGGGCTCTGTTCTGGATGGTGGGATCATGAGCTGAGCTGAAGGCAGATGCTTCATTGACTGAACCCCCCAGACAGCCCCTCTGACAGTCTTTCGGTGGCTCCTAATTGCCTGGCTCATGGAGTGAGATCAAGAAATAGTCTTGGTGAGGCTTTCTCTCATAGCCCTATTTAAAATGTCAGCAGTCACCAATGAGTGTGGGAAGGGGTCTTTTAAAGGGAAATAATAATAGTGAGATGTACAAGGTCAGCCTTCACCTCTACTGAATCTTGACTTTTTTCCTTAACCTCGTTGACTTTTGGCATTGATGAAAATCTGAAACAAGCCTGATTTTAACTTCTTATATTAGAAGCTTAGAAATGTCTTCTTCCTTGAAACTTCATAATTTTACAAGATTATGTCTGAATGATGGTTTCCCTTAATCAGTTTTATCTGGGAAATTGTGAGCTCCCTAGCTTTATAGGACATTTCTCCCATTATGGGAGACTTGTTTTCCTGTTCTATCACTGATCATTCTTTTTCACCTAGGACCTTAATGGTGCTAAATCCAAGGGTCTCTTCTAGGGTCTTCGTTCAAGTTTTTTTTTTTTTTTTTTTTTAAGATTTTATTTATTTATTTGACAGACAGAGATCACAAGTAGGGAGAGAGGCAGGCAGAGAGAGAGGAAGGGAAGCAGGCTCCCTGCTGAGCAGAGAGCCCGATGCGGGACTCGATCCCAGGACCCTGGGATCATGACCTGAGCTGAAGGCAGCGGCTTAACCCACTGAGCCACCCAGGCGCCCCTTCGTTCAAGTTCTTATTCAAGAACTTAAACTGTTAGCAGCACCGGCCCCCACTCGACCACTCTCCTTCCTGCTGTTCCTTCACTTGAGTCCCAGGAAACCACACTGTGATGACTTTTCCCCTCACTGACTCAGTCTCCTTTGCTTGTTCTTCTTCTCCTCCTTCTTACATCTAACTCGGGATCACCTCTGGGCATTGATCTTGGACCTGTGTACTCTCTGCATTTGCTCTTTGGAGTGACCCATAGACTTTCGGAGCATGAAGTCCCATCTCAACTCTGAATCACACGTGTGACATGCCCAGCCTAGACCTGTCCCTCCACGGCAGGTTCATACGTTCAGCTGCCAGGAGGCTTCTCCACTTGGATTCTACATCGTTCCTCAAGCTCAGCGTACCCAAGGGGGAGCTCCCGATCTGTCTTGCCTAACCTGCGCCTCCCATAGTCTTCACTGTCTCCATCATGGCATTTCCATCCTTCCGGTTGCATGGATTGTGGAGTCAAGATCTTTTTCTGACACCTGCATTAATTTATCAGCCAGTCCTCTTGGCTTTACCTCCAAAATACATTCAGAACCCACAGAGCTCACCTCCTCTGTTGTTATCCTTCTGATCCAAGATCTCCACAAGTTGGGTTGTGCGGGAGCAGCTTGGATTACTGCAGGAGATGTCTGATGTCTCCCTACCTTTGCCCACCCCATTCTTAACACAGAGACCAGAGGGCTTCCTTTACAATGAGTTAGATCACGTGTCTCCTCTGCTCAGAGCCCTCCATGGGCTTACAGGAAAAGTCAGAACCACTGTGGGCTCAAAGCCCTGAACGATCTGGAACACACTCCCTCCCTATTTATCTGTCTGATGTCACCTCTTCTGTATTCTCCCCCGTGCTGTCGCCACAGCAGCCTGTTCCTCAGAAACTCCCAAGTATGCTCCTACTGTGTTCCCTCTGCCTGGAATATTCCTCCCACAGACATCTGCATGGCTCACTCCCTCGGCCTCCTTCAGGTGTTTCCTTGAATGAATGTTTCATTTTGCTCTTTTTTGAGAATTCAAGGATCAGATATTTCTTAATCCACGCAGATCATCTTTCCTGGCACGTTCCCTTTCTCTTTCCAGACATCCTGCTCTGTTCTCATGGTGCGTCTCGAGTTTATTTTCTTTTTTTTTTTTAAAGATTTTATTTATTTATTTGACAGATAGAGATCACAAGTAGGCAGAGAGGCAGGCAGAGAGAGAGAGGAGGAGGCAGGTTCCCTGCTGAGCAGAGAGCCCGATGTGGGGCTCGATCCCAGGACACTGGGACCATGACCTGAGCCGAAGGCAGAGGCTTTAACCCACTGAGCCACTCAGGCGCCCCTCGAGTTTATTTTCTTGTGCAGGTTCAGCTCCTAGCTAAGTTAGCTGTGGTGGTGCTACTTTTGATCTTTGCTACTTTTAGTCTAGTTTTTCTTTGATCACACACTTGTTATCTCTGCATCTTCATGTTTAGTTGCTGGCGTGTCCTCCTTCAAAATTTTCATCTTGAGGAACGTTGATGGTATTTCATGACATGGCTCCCTGAACATTTACTGAACACCTACTTCCTTCCATGCATGGTGTGCTCACCACGACCCACCGAGGAGAACCTTGAACTCAGGGAGGTTACAGCCTTGCCCAGGGCCACATAGTGAATGTGTCTATCTGGTTCCAAAGCCATGTTCTTTCCCTTAAGCCCCTCCCCCCACCGCCTTGTGCTTTTTATTTCTAAAACAAGCACCGTTTCTGGCACATGTTCGAATCCTTTCATTCACTCACTCGCAGGTGCCAGGCACAGCTCTAAAGACAGGGACAGACCATAGCAAAATACATGAGAACCTATTTTTTAGAGTGTGAAAATGGGATGAGCATTTGGGGGAAAGTGAGGTAGGAAAGAATGCTAGAAAGTGCCTGAGGGGACAGGGCTGGCTCTTACACCAAGAAGTTACATTTGAGCAAAGAGTGGAAAGAGGTGATCGAATAATTAGAGTGGGACAGGAGGACAGAAAGCTCCCAGCTCTGTCAGCCCCTTCTCCAGCAAACTGGATGTCCCCTCTGCCCCTTCTTACAGTCTCAGAATCACGTGGTTACTTAAAAGTTCAAACTGGTTTATTTGTGTATGGTTAATTTCCATTTATATCAAATGACCATGTTTTCATTAGAGCACATCAGTGAGTCACTGGCACATCTGGGCTTGTAGATCTGAACCTGCTTGCATATGTTTAACCGTAACGGGAACAGTGGTGTCTTCCACAGGGCGGTTTGTTTTTCCTCTCACGTAAAAGATGTCCGCAGGCAGAGGGGTCAGCCCCGGCATGGACAGCTGTTGTGTAAGTTCTCAGGGACTCAGGCTCCTCCTAGTTCACAGCTTTGGATGGTGTGACCTTCAAACTCTGCATGGCTTCTGGAGCTCCGACTATCACATCCAAATTCCAGAAAGCAGAATATGGAGAAGGGCCCGTGCTATCCCTTTAAAGAGTCTTCCTAAAATTACATACCATACTGTCTGCATCTCAGAGATCTCAGAGGTCAAAACTTAGGTGGCCACCTCCTGCTGCCCAGAAGGCTGGGGAATGAAGCCTTTAGGTAGGTGGCAGGGTGTGCAACTTAAAATCAGGGTTCCTATTCCTGAGAAGGAAAGACAGTTGGCTATTGGAAGACAGTCGGCGGTCTGTGGCCCATCTCCAGAGTAAGGGGTAGCTAAAATAGCTATATGCCCTACCGACTGTGGGCTTATATGAAGAATTGAGATCTTTCCATATGGCCTTCTGTAGTGTCCTTTTTTTTAAGTCAGATGATCATTGATTTCAATTGTTGCTACAAATCACATGTGCTTTTGTAATGCTTTATGTATGTATCTATCTGCCTGTCTTGTCTACGACATTCTGGTTTTGATATCCTTACACATTTGTCTGTACCACAGACTTACCCTGAGAAGGTGTAGCACCCAAAGTTCCTAGCAGAGTGCTTGGACTCAGGGGCTGTGGAGTAGGCATTCGGTTCGTTGATTTTTTTTCAGCAAACATTTATTGCACACGGTTCTCGCCGGCACCATCTCGGTCTAGAGGAAAAACAGACGAGAGCTTGCATGTGGATGGGGGAGGGTCTAAGAACAAATGCATCCATAAGGAAAAATCCTAGAATAAATATAATTTAATATATTATATTATTATATATATTTATTTTTATATATTATATCATTGTATATATTTATTAAAATTAATATCCCTGAACCACGACGAACCAAAGAAGTGATAGAGATTATCTACTCTTTGATTTGATTTTTTGTATGCTAAACTACCTTAAGAACTCCTGGTGAGGGCGCCTGGGTGGCTTAGTGGGTTAAGCCGCTGCCTTCGGCTCAGGTCATGATCACAGGGTCCTGGGATCGAGTCCCGCATCGGGCTCTCTGCTCGGCAAGGAGCCTGCTTCCCTCTCTCTCTCTCTCTCTCTGCCTGCCTCTCTGTCTACTTGTGATCTCTCTCTGTCAAATAAATAAATAAAAATCTTAAAAAAAAAAAAGAAAAAGAACTCCTGGTGAGAACCAAACTTCTGTATTACTGTATTTTTCAAGGGAAGTGCCTAACAGTGGCCCTTTTTTCTCTGCTTTTAGCAAAGTCCTTACTTAATATTTGTTTCTCCAGCTGCAGAAAAATGGCTGTTGAGAGTATCTTCCCATCCAGCTAGACTTGTAGCTTTACAAATAGTGCTTATTCTTTCTAATGATAAAACTATTGGGACGCCTGGGTGGCTCAGTCCGTTAAGCCTCTGCCTTTGGCTCGGGTCATGATCCCAGGGTCCTGGGATCGAGTCTCGCATCCGGCTCTCTGCTCAGCGGGGAGCCTGCTTCTCTCTCTGCCTCTGCCTGCCACCCTGCCTGCTTGTGCTCGCTCTCTCTCTCTCTGACAAATAAATAAATAAAATCTTAAAAAAACTATCATTAGAAAAACTCTGTTACCAATCAATGTAGATATAATTCTGTAGATAACTATAGAGATAAAGTTCTTTATGATAGCCTCTGTATGGGGCCATCATAATTCGTTGTGTAAAAAGTATTCGCACGTGTTTGAACGCGTTTGTGTTTGATGGCTATAATTTCAGGATTCCCAACTGGTAATAGAAGCTTATAAGTCCGGGTTTGAGCCTCCCGGGGACATCGAATTTGAGGATTACACCCAGCCGATGAAACGCACTGTGTCGGATAACAGCCTCTCGAATTCCCGAGGAGAAGGCAAACCAGAGCTCAAGTTTGGTGGTAAATCCAAAGGAAAGCTATGGCCCTTCATCAAAAAAAATAAGGTACTGATGGTTGGACCCAGCATGAAACGAGTTTTACAAAGTGTGGTGATTGTGACTTTCTCGGTTAGTCTTTAAAAAACAAAACCAAACAAAACTAAAGAATGTAAGCCTGTAGTTCACAGAATGCAAAAAAAGAGCTAGTGTGCTGTTTTATTTAAAAACCATGATTTCTCTTTGGTGGTGGTCCCTTTGCCATGGCCATTTGTCTTATTTCGGATGCATTGCTACCTGACTCGTGCCATCCACACTAACACTGACCTCTACTGACCTCTTGGCCATCTCCCATCACGTCTTTCACCGCTAAGTCCACTAGCCGCCTGGTCCCCTCGGCTGGGAGAGGGGTGCTGTGCGGGATTTCTCTAACAGCTGATCAGCAGCTCTGATTCGAAATCGTGTCCATGGGTTAAATAGCTTGGGTTTTGACTTCACGTTAACATGTACCTCCATGACCATTTTGCGTTTTCTTTTGGTGGCGCGGTCGCAGATGCGTGACAGCGCTGACCTGGGCATCCCGTGTGGTCCAGGCACCATTACTACGCTCTCCCGAGAATAACTGCATATTTAATTTTCCAAAGACTGTCTTGCTGTTTTGACAACCTTGGCATCTAAGGTCCTTTATGCTCTCTCATCCAGCTCTGGTGGTTTTAGGTGGTTTAGAAATCTTGACCCTTTTCTGGTCTTAACTGGTTTAGCGTAACTAACGTACATTTAGCGTAACTCACGTAGTTTTGCATGGGAGAGCCTGCATGAGCTTCTGGTCGCAGATTTCTTGCTCTTCTTCCGTCGCTTTACTGACTAAAACCTCCACTTCTCGTCATGTTCTACATGTTTTCTTTTGGACCATGGCCTAAATATGTAATCGTTTGTGTTTTACTTGCTTTGGATTTCAAATATGATTTGATGCTTATTTTGTTTTGTGTCTTATCTTGTTTCTGATTTTACTCTGTCACTGCTCCATCTTACATGTAGCTTATGTCCCTTTTAACATCCCCCCATCAGCCTCCCCCTCCCCCCCCTGCCTCTGCCTCACCCTCTGCTGTTCCCAACGGCCCCCAGTCTCCCAAGCAGCAAAAGGAACCCCTCTCCCATCGCTTCAACGAGTTCATGACCTCCAAACCCAAAATCCACTGCTTCAGGAGCCTAAAGCGTGGGGTAAGTTCTGCTCTGGAATCCTGTCTCTTGTGCGCTCTGGGCGCATGTGTCGTTCTGCATGACTTATTTCGTTTGTGAATCAATCCATTGTGTTTTCCCGTAACACGAAACAGTAAGGACCTGGGCTTCACCGTAGCTAGAAAGAAGAACCCCAGCAGGGGAGGAGAGAAGAAAGAAGGAAGCAGAGTGGATAGAAAGAAGAAGAGAAAGCGAGCCGGCCGGCCCAGAGTCCTTTGGGTCTCGAGCACATTTCAGAAAGGCTTTTCTCCACTTCCCTTTTAAAACATCTAAGTCATTAATGTTCTACCTTGATTTTACCCAAAAAGGAAGCTTAGATTCGATTTCCAAAGCCAGTGACATCCGAGATGAGGAATTGGAAGTCACTGTAGACGCAGAAAACATTTGCCTGATGGTTGCTGAGAACAGCATGAGGGTCACAGAGCTGCTTCTGTCTGAGCTAAGCCTCAGAGTTTGAGGGGGAAATGTCACGAGGTTACGGTGGTTTCTTGAGCTGTGTTGGGGAACTTAGAAGATGGTGAGAAAATGTCTGTTGGCTGGAAGAGGCCTAAGGCCAGATTTATCGTTAGAGATGGAGATAATAAGCAGCTAACATTCACTGAGTGCTGGTGGGGGACCAGACTCTGTTCCGTGGTTGTCTTCGACTGCCCTGTGAGCCTGGGCACTATGACATCCTTATTTTACTGGTAAGAAAACTGAGGCCCCAAAAGATGAGGTTAGGAAGAGGTAAAGTCAGAGAGCCTGCTCGTCGTCCGAGGTTCTGTGACGTCCACACTCGGGGAGCATCCGCTAGGACAGGGTTGACTCGTTAGTGGACGTCCTCTCAACTCCAGCTTGCCATTTCGGTTAGGAACACCTGTGCCAGACACACGGGGTTTTGTGCAGCTGATCCAGGGACAAAAAGGAGTTGCCCGTTTGGTTGCGAGGACAAAAGTGGAATAAAGTCATTTGGAGCCTCCCAAATAAATCGAACTGATCCGTGTAGTCAAAGCCATCCCCAGATCGAGGCATGGCGGTCAGGAGTAAACGGACACGTGGGCCCAGTAAGGTCTTTTATCCCGATCTGTGGGGACTGCAAGGCAGTGGCTGTGGGACGTGTTCCTGTAGAAACATAATTTTTACTCTTCCCTTCCTTTGGGTAAAAAAGAATGTCAATGTATAATAGCTGGGACTAAAACGAGGGGTGATACATACACTAAAATTGGAATGATACAGAGGAGATTAGCACAGATGACATGCAAATTCTCGAAGCATCCCGTATTTTAAAAATAAGTAAATAAGTAGAATGAGGGACAACCCCCCCATTCTGTATATGCAGAGTTCCTTTAATAAGGGGATCGCAACATTTTTGTAAAGGATACAGATAGTCGGCGAAATTATCTTGTCTTAAGGTTCCCCAGCATATCAGGTTAAGAATTAACGATGTAATTTCCTCAAGATTTCAAGAGAGCCATTGTTAGAAGGCAGAGCATAGCTTCGGAAGTGGGTGACGGACCGCGTTGAGCTCTATAATTAGATCCCAGTTCCTGGGCTCGCTCAGGCCGGCTTTGAAAACTCCCCGTCCGTCCCACTTACTCCTGCAAGAATTTCCAGCATCTGGCCAGGGTGTTTTTGCAACACTATAAAGTTTTATGTTAACTGTAAGTCAGTTAACCCATCTCTCGGCCACTTACAAGACCTTGACCAAAGCACTCGTTTATTCTAACAAGTACCTCTGCATGGTCTTTTGGAATCTCACGATGGAGTATGTGGAATATTTGTGACTGTTCACCGTTCGTTTCTGTGTCTGTGTCATTCCCTCAACACCACCACAGTCTGCTGGTTGCAAATGGTTTTCCGAATCTGTATTTCATGATGTTCTCTAAATGTTTGGGAAAAGACCAAAGAATGTCAGTAATCAATAAGTGTACGGGAAAGATGGCTAGGAAAAATATACCCCTTTAAAAAAGGGGGGGGATGAGAAATGAGTTCTTATGATGATTTAGAGGAAAATCCCTCTTTTAAAAATTATAAATGAGCAAAATGAATTTTATTGCTTACTCTTTAAATCTGTGCTCAGCAAAAACTCGGTTAAAAAAAATTTTTTTTAATCCATGCTTTGTTTTCCCGAGAGTTAACACACACGTACACATTCTAGAAGAATTAGTGAATAAATAGAAACATATTTCTGCTTCTTTCATTTTGGGTCAGCCTGCTCTCAGTGAGGGTCAGGTTGGAGGTCCCTTCCTTCAGGAAGTTGAAGTGAACAAAAAAGAAAAAGGAAATGCATCACAGAAGTAAAATTAGGAAGTTCAGAAATGAAAAATAAATCTGAAGTTTGGGGAAATAAATTTGATTTTAAAACAATCTCAACACAGAAGGTACGTGGATTACGGGGCCCGTGATGAAAATGATACTGTCCTTCTGTTTCCTTCATTCCTCATTTAGAACTTTAAGACTGTTGTGCCAAAGAAAGGAAAAGTGTCCTAGAATAACAGATCTGTGATTTTAACACATCTATTAATTTATTGTGTTTTGCAGCTTTCAGATCCAGATTTCAGTCCTTTGTTCCTATTATCCGAATGTGTGACCCCCTATGCAGACATTTCTTAGCATAGCTGATTTTGTGTCTAAATAATGAACCAGGATAAAATGTTTTTTTTTGTTGTTGTGAATCATTGGCATCTGTAAGAAAATCTTGTTTCACTGAGCATTTCTAAAGTATGCCACCGAGCTTTCGTAACCATTTCTTCATCTTTACCTAAGACAAGGAAAAATGAAACTAGACAGTGTGGTCTCTGCTTGCAATTTACAAATGTAATTTTGTTGTCTTAAATTAAGATTTCTCTTTCTGGTCTTGACAAGGGCCTTCTAAATCTAAAATATGGGCCCATTTCCCCCCATGTGTTAGAGTTCATGGCATGGAAAAAATCCCTTCGCAGTTGATCAAAAGGTTTGGAAAAATCCTTACTGATTGTTTGTCAGATGTTACAATTTTATGGTCACTTTAATTTTATTCATTTTATCTTGTTCTCTTGCTGATTATTGGCAGACTCAGTCTTTCTGTTTTCACAAAGAACTCATGAAGAGGACGATAGGGAAACCCACGTATGCTTTTGAAGCTAGGGACTATGTTGTAAGTTGACCTGTGACGGCCAGGCATTGAGTCATGGCTCAGGTACTAACCCCTTGGATAGCACCAAGACTGGGGACCCGGCAACGAAATTCTCCCCTGGGTGACCTGGACACGGGAAGGGCCAAGTTATTACTATAAAGTCAGCCCCAAGTTACTTTATCTGGAAAGCTCGGGTGGGAAAAAGGAACCAACTTCCCAAGAACAACCAGGCTTCCCCAAAACGGCAGTGGACGGAGCTTGGCTCTGCCCGCTCTTCGCTGATCGTGACTGCCGTCTGAGAAGATGTCCACGGGTGCGATTCTAGGGCAGAATCTCACCCATAACCACAGCCGCAGAGCGTGGTCCCAGGAGGACACTCTTACAGACGGCGGTCGTGTAGATCGTGCGAGGACCCCCCCGCCCCGTGTGGAAGAGATGGATCTGTAAGGGGGTCATGCCATGAAGCTTGGGGAACCAAAACAATCATCGGGGCGTGGGCGAGGTCACAGAGTAGTCCTGTGACTTTTCACGGACCATAATTCAACTGTTACTTCTGTACTTATTTTCACTGTCCCCTTTCTTCGTACTTGAGGTTCGTACCTGTGGCCGTGCAGTAACACATGGACCCGCTGGCTCTGTGTCCCCTCATGTGTTATTGACATGTGTGGCTCCCAAGGCTTCCTACTCGTTGCCTGAAACTGACCGCTTTCTAGTTCCTCGGATGTCTTGCGGTGCACCTAATGCAGTCTTTACAAGTATTTTCTCAAAGGCTTCGGTTTCCCATGTTAAGTGATCTAACTGGCTGGCTTACAGCTTAAGACCGAAAACTGGTGTTACAAGGATACCACACCCCGTGATGGTGCTTCTTGTAGAGGGCCCATCACTGTCCACTTCAGAAGACTGCGTTTGTCTTGAAAATCCGGGATTTCCTACGGGTACTCAGATTTATGTTCGATCCTAACGACTCGTTTTTATTATGAAGTGGTAATCATTCCTGTGCTGTTAGTTTCGATGCTAGAATTCTTCTTCTGGAATGCTTAAGAAAGAACATATAATTGATATGCTCGTGTAAGTAACGGAAGTAGCCGAAGAGAGAACAGGTAGTGTACAGAGTTCAAATGGCAGGTGTTTAAATTTGCCACGTTTAAACGATCCTGTGTGAGAAAACATTTGTAGGGGGTAGCGTGCTTTGCCAGGAAGATATTTGCCAAGTTTTCCGCTGTGCACCCTGAGTGTTGTCTGTAAAGAACTCAAGATGTGATCAGCCGATCTGTGCTAAAGCTCACAGGAGGGGCCACAGGGAGAGTCAGGAGCGTGCCTGTACCTGCTGCCTTGTTCTCCCAAAAGTTTTGTCTCACTGCCTCTTAAAGTCTGTTCCCCCGTAGGGGAGATTTCTTTCAAAGCTTAATGCCTATTTGAAAAGAAGTGTCCATTTTTAGTTCATCTTAAGAATAAGATTTTTTAAACCTGGTTAAGGAATTTTTTAATGCCCTGCACTCCCAGTTTAAAATCAAAGGGCTCGTTCTTTGGTCCTTGGTCTCCAACATATTTTTGATCCTACCGCAGCTGCCTGAGCTTTTAGGATTGACGACAGCTAAGTTAAAATGCACCATGTTCTCAAGACACTGCTTCCTGGCCATAGAGTATGTCTCACCTGTTAACGAAGAGCCAAATGTTTCTTTTTTTTTTTTTTTTTAATAATTTGGAGATGCCTTTTAATCTGTTTTGTGTCCAGTAGTCACTCTACCTTTGCTAATCTCCAGGCCCAGCAAAATTGCACCTGCTGCCTCCTGATGGTCAGGAAACGCAGAGCAAGGAGTGCCCCTCGGTAGTTGAGATAACTGGCTGTTTCGTAACAGTAACTCTCAGGGCAGCTACTCCAGTTAGCTCTCCAGGTGCTTTGTAACCCCCGTGGGTAGGACTCAGAGTGCACGTGAGCCTCTGAACACACCTTCCACGGTGCGGGGGGTGGTGAGCGATGCAAGGGCCTCGTCCTGCCTCTGGCCTGGTGCAGAGAGGCTTTCTGGATCCTGCAGATGGTTTCCTAGAGCAACTTCCAGCCCCCGGTTATGCGTTCACCCACTCAAGAGTTTGCCTTCCTGCCTTTGAGAAATGACAGTCTTCACGTTTATTAGAGTTCCTTAAGATAAATAAATACATTACTTGTACGTTGCGGAAGTCACCGCTCTTCAGCTCCCCCCGTGAGTAAAACTTCCCATGTGAAATGTGGTGAACAAAAGGCTATGTGATTATTTTTGTCTTTTATTATCAGCATGTGTCACCAATTGTAAACTTATTTTAGCTTATAACCAGGCCGATGTGACCCACACAGAACTGTGAACAGAAACTCTCCTTTTCTATCTTTATTTTTTTTGCTCTGGCAACGTGGCAGCGAAAGGAAGGTTTTGGCAGGGGCCAGACCCTCTTGTGAACGTTTGCACAGATCCACTGCAAGTCATTTTCACAAGCGACAGGTGAATTTATGTGTTATGTTAATACGGTGCAACTGACCGAATTCCTCTTCTTCTGATGTGTTGTCTCTCTCTCTCTCTTTTTTTCCCCTGTTACCTCTTCAATTTTTACATGAAGCTTTCTCTCAAGCTGGTAAGCACAATTCTTCTATGCATGTCCCAAATCTAATCAGGTTTTTTGGGTGTATGTTTCCCTTGCGTATGCTTTCGTTGGTGTTTCTTCGTTAGACTTGTGCAATCCAAAGGTCCAAAATCCACTAGGGGCGATCTTAATCTTTTCAAGTTGCTAAGAAAATTAACGCTTAACTCATGATTTGGTTTCCTTTCTTACCGGGGCCTTAAGAGGATGGCAGATATTAATAAACTTTATTTAAATGTGATCAGAAATGTACATATTTGATATTGGGGAGTTTATTTATGGATCATTTGGAGTAAAAGTAAATTTAACAGCTAAAGATATTCTCCCTGGGAGCCACAGAAGCAGGTGAAAAACGCAGTGAGCCTGAAGGAGATGGGCAGGAATGGTGCCAGTCTCAAACTCAGGTCCAAGGCAGCCTGGGAGAATTGCAACCCATGGGATCTTTAAGTCGCTACATAAATATGTGGGTGCCTTATGCATAGCCGATTTAAGAAATCACAAGATGACTTTATGGACAGTGAAAAGAGCCTCCTAAGCCTTTCTAAAATAATTTACTTAGTGTTCTGTGTTGTTCCTACCTAATCGCATAGCCCTAGTAAACAGACTAATCATTAAATTTATTAAAAGAAACTTTTTAACTCTGTAACCCCTAACTATACTTCAGAAATCTGTAAGTTACATGGTATTCTAAACACCACAGCTGAAAATGCCTTAAAATTATGGACAATGATACACTGTAACAATTCACCCAGGAATAAGGTCAGCTACTTTATGCATTGCTGTTGATGATGCAGGATAAGAGTTTCTGGTGGTCCTTATCTACACATTTGTGTGTGTGTACATGGATACATATACATTTGGATTTCCAGAATTTTTTCAGCCTGACTCAGTATTTGGCAACTAACCCAACCCCAGAGAAAACGAGTATCTCATTAAATGGAACATTTCTTAGACTATGAAATAAAATCCCCAGACTAGTCCTTAATTAAGGTCTCTACGAGAAGGAAAACACCCTAAATGTTTCAATGAACTGAGTTGGGCAACAGCATGGATTTGGGAGGAACTGGGTCAATTAAGTAGGAGTCTCTCAGGTACTGGGGTTTCTTCCTTGCCCTGTCTGTATTTCTTCTTTTGCTGAGGCGCTGGAAGCAAAAGATAGCAGTATTAATAAAATTAGGCAGTCTTTCTGCCTGAGATAGAAATCATTTGACCAAGTTGGTATGGAACTGTTGCTTTATTCCATTACTTGGAAGCCAGTAAAGAAGGGAAGTGTTGCCCAAAGATGCCTGGAGCGGAAAAGGTGTGAACTCCAAAGAAGCCGCTTACGCTTCTTGTGCTTGTAGCCTGTGCTCCTGCGGGGAGAGGCTCAGAGCAAGCGTTTGATTCCAGAAGTGTGTAAAACAAGGTCCTCCCAGAGCCGCAGCAACTTAAAACATCCCTACACGCACTGACCCCGTCTTGCAAAACCAGTGCCACCCGTGGGGCCAGTCTGTTTCCAAACTGGACCACAACAAAGATTTCAGAAAGTCTACTCTGACTCAAAGCTGGAAATATAAATTCCCTCGTTGCAAAATGAATCCTGGGTCAGAGTATTGCTTAAAGTCATCCAAGTCTTAATGGCCTTTCAAGGTACTTCCAGACACCTAACACTCCTTCGGATCTAGAAGAAGCCGTGAGCTCAGCCTCCAAGGGCAACGCAAAGTTTGTCTGAGGCACAGTTCATGAGATTAGTTTCTAAATAACAATACAGAAACATAGAGTACCTATCGAAAGGGACCTAATTTGTTCCTTTATTTAGTTAGTTAGTTAGTTCTCGTAAGTAATTGAAGTTAAATTTTTTGCTGTGTAAGGAATCTGTTTATAAGTCACAAGTGTTTATACTGCAAACCTTACACCTGCTCACAGTCTACCCCTGAATCCCATACGCTGGCCATCCATCACGCAAGCTGATTCAAATATTTGTTAATTAAAATCCAATAAAAATGTAGAATTCAGTTCCACGGTTGCCCTGGCCATGTTTCAAAGGCTCAGTAGCCGTGTGTGGCCGCTGTATTCACGAGCGCAGAGATGAGAACTTTTCCATTCTTTGTAGGAAAAATTCTTTGGGACTCTTAGCCTGCAGTTTGGTTTAGTAACTATTAATGAATTAACATTGGCGCCATCCCTGCCTTTCCTGGCTTCCGAAGCAGCGTGCCTTTCGTTTTATGGCATTCCAGCCCCCAAAAAACAAAACGAAACAATCCCCTCAATTTTAGAAAACATGCTGATGTGATTTAAGTAACCTCGGCAGGAAGACAAGGTGTTGTGCTTTCGGGCTCGGTGCTCGAGCGGAGCTAAGTGAAAAGCACACGATTCGGGTTGCACGTGTTCCAACCCGAGAATCGCCCGGGGACGGAAACAAGCAGCCTGATTGATTTCTGTGCTGAAAGATGAGTTTGGGTCATTTTCGCTTTAGAGGCAACTGAACTTGCTTGGCTTGCCATGACGGACTAGCCACTTGTGTTCTGGTTTCACTCCTCTCTCTCTCTCTCTCTCTCTCTCCTTCTCTAACACACGCAGGCACGCGCACACACATGAGTCTAAGCATCAGCTGCAAGGTGTGTGCGTGGCCTTGCGGTAAGCGCGGTTGCATCGCACCTCCCGGCACAGCAGCCCTGGCGCTTGGTCCCAAGCAGCCAGGGAGCCGGGGTCACCAGCACCATGTCAGCTGCTTGGCCAATTCAGCTCGATTTTGGAATTACCTTCCCCGGGTCCTCTCCTTTCCACCCCCGCGCCCCAGCCAGCCTGTTTCATTGGCTCTAAAGTAAAATCTCTTTTTAAATTCCTTGGCTTATCCCTGGCGATTGAATCCATTTCTCTTTGTTTATGAAAATCACTTCATGGAATCAAAGGCACTTGATCCCCCAACAGCTTTAGCCGAAGCTCCTGACTCGTAAGCAACTGGAAGAGCCTGGAAGAGTCTGGAAGCTCGCTGTTGGGGTTTTCTACTGAGACCGTATGCACTGAGGAAAGATCCTAATTGTTTCTGAAAGGGGTTCCAGATATCAAAATAGGCTCCTTCTGCTGGATTGGAAACAGCTGGCATGGCTTTCGGATGCTGGGGAGTTGGTGTGGAGGTCCGGGGGCCCATTCTATGTGGATTTTCTGAGGTCACCCTACAGATGTCAGAAAGGAGTGACCTGACTTTTAGAGGCAGTGGAGGGGAGAGTGGAGGGGGTGGGGTGGGGGGGAGAGGGGGAGGATAGATGTTTTAATGGCCTTTTCCCCCACATTCTCTGAGGAACCAGACGTCCCATCTGTCACTTGGTGAGGATGGAAACTTTGGGCCTCAGCCTGTGTGGAGAAGTGGGAAGAAAGACCCAGAGTAGGGAGTAAAGCGGTGCGTTCAACACGAGACCGTTGTTGGGGGCACTTGTCCCTGTGTGGTGCGAAGGGAGCAGACACCTCAGACGTCCTTCACGCTCCAGATTTGCCGCCAACACTGACGGTCAAGGGAAGGATCTGCCTCAGAATGTGGTCTTCACCGAATCTTGCGGGGGCCGGAATTTCTTCTCCCCCTCCCCTTCTGCAGCCTTGCTCCTTGCCTTGGCCGAGGTGGTTTGGCGGGCAGACCTGGAGCCCGAGCCGGTGTGTGGGACTTCTCTGCAGTTTGCATGCATCGATCTTACATCTCAGCTGGGTGTCCTGGGAAAGAGCTTCCCTTTTGGTCATGAAAACACACGTGGACCTCGGCACCCCCGGTGTCTGGGGGCTGCATCGTGCAGACGTCGTGCGGTGTCTGTCCTCCGGGACGAGCGCGCGCTCATGCCTGTTTGTGTCCGCAGGGTGCCACGCCTGAGGATTTCAGCAACCTCCCGCCCGAGCAGAGAAGGAAGAAGCTGCAGCAGAAAGTCGATGAATTAAATAAAGAAATTCAGAAGGAGATGGATCAGAGGTAGAGTGGAGCGACGCGACTTATTACAAGATTCAGGTTTAGTGTGGACGATGGGAAATCCCAAATTAGCTTCAAGAAGAGTATTGATTTCAGCTGTGTGGGGTCTTGTTGTTGTTTGTTTTTTTTCATGGAGGGTCTACTGGATGGCTTCATTGCAGAGCGGGAGAATTCTTTTAACAAATAGGTTTTACTCTGAGTTTGGGGAACAAAATCCATTTGGTTATCTGTTTTTTTCTTCCTCTGTATTTCTATACTTCTTTTTTTTTTTTTAATTTTTATTTCTTTTTAAGTTTTAAATTTTATTTCCAGGACAGTTAACATCCAGTGCTCTGTTAGTTTCAGGTGGACGCTACGGTGACCCAGCATTTCTGTGCGTGACTCGGGGCTCATCGCGATAAGTGTCCCCTTCGTCCCATTCACCTGTTCTGCCCATCTCCCACCCTCTTTTCTTTTAATTATAAATATGTAAAAATGAGGAAGGGGAGCGTGGCGTGAGTCCCACCCCGCTCCCTTGCCCCACATTCTAGTTTTGGGTCTAAAATAACCTACCTTGTCTTCCTATTTGAGGATAAGTGACAGTCAGCCTTCCCAGAGGTTCTCACATCTCTGTACCTTGTTGTAGAGCGTACTGCTAGTGTATAGAAAACAAATCGCGTTATGTCTTATTACACACACCACCAGCCGCCAGGGGGGTGATGTTTTCCCACTCTTGAGAAGCTCCTATGTCCGGATCCCACAGCTGGGGTTCCCCGTTTTCTGAGCCGTTCTGTGAGTTTGATCCCAGGATGGTGTATAGGCGAAAAATAAGACGAAAAGAGTTGATAATCTCTTCATTTGTGCTTCCCTCCCCATATTTGTAGCCCGTAGGTCTTTGCTGTCACTTAGGGGCTACTTGCTAGTGATCCGGATGGAAAAATCACTTTATTTATTGTCTCTCGCCTTATAAATTCTCACTGAGTGAATAGGGGAATCATTCATCTATTTGAGATTTTCTAAAAGATAACTTGAGGTTTTTTGGCCTGTAAACAGGCCAAAGAGGGATTCTACATAAATTTCGTTGTGGCAAAGCTGGAGTTAAAATTTGGTCATGCGAAAAGCCAACAAACAAAATCGATTAGGCAGTAGTACAGTTTAGTATGAAAGTGGTAGTTTTATTTTATTTTTTTTTAAGATTTTATTTATTTATTTGACAGACAGAGATCACAAGGAGGCAGAGAGGCAGGCGGGGGGGCGGGGAAGCAGGCTCCCGGCTGAGCAGAGAGCCCGATGCGGGGCTCGATCCCAGGACCCTGAGATCATGACCGGAGCCAAAGGCAGAGGCTTAACCCACTGAGCCACCCAGGTGCCCCATGAAAGTGGTAGTTTTAGTACAAAAAAATAGTTGGTTACTGCTGATAGAACAACTTCTGAAAAGTGGGTGGTTTTATGTATTTGTTTATTTTATTTATATTTTTAATGTTTTTTAGACAGAGTAAGAGAGATCACGGGGTAGAGGGTCGGGGGCATGGAGGGGCAGAGGAAGAGAGAGAATCTCAAGCAGACTCCCCACCAGCTCAGAGCCCTGATGTGGCTCCCACGACCCTGAGATCCTGGCCTGAGCTGAAATCAAGTGGGACGCTCAACCGACTGAGCCCCCCCAGCGCCCCAGATGGGTGGTTTTATGGACACTGTTACTGTGCATAACAAATAACAACACAGATAATTAACTTTGTTCTGTGTTAGAAACACACCTCATGAAAGTGTTCTTTATCCTTTTTATTACATGCGGAACCAAATATAAAAAGGGTCCTGCATGTATCAACCCGTTACACCTCGGCCTATGGAATAACTGAGCAGTTATATTCCGTACAGGAGTGAGAAGTTCTGATTCAGGTATTTGAAACGACATTGTAGAAGGTCATGGACACTGTTGTCCAAGAATTAGGTAGAAAACTTTCTCTGCCACTTGGGTTGTGGCCGTAGAAGCTGGTTAACCTTTTAATGCTCACAGCGACCCTGCTGATAAGAAGGCCAGTGCCATTTAACAGTTTACTAGATGACTATTTATTGAGCATTTACTGTGTGCAAGGAAATATCCTAGACCCTGGAAATAAAACGGTGAACAAAACACTTGAAAACCTCTGCTCTCATGCAACTTACGTCTTGTCCAAGAGGAACAAGGCAGGACTCATCAAAGCACAAAGCGTGAGGGTAGATTTAAAATACCCTGGGGTTCAGGGGCACCCGACTGATTCAGAGGAGTGTGCGACTCTTGATCTCGGGGTCGTGGGTTCGAGCCCCACGTGGGCTGTAGAGATTACTTAAATAAATAAAATTAAAAAAAAAATTTTTTTAATACCCTGGGTTCAAACCTGGTTCCACCTATTTCTTTTTCTTTTCTTTCTTTTTTTTTTTTAAGATTTTATTTATTTATTTGACAGACAGAGATCACAAGTAGGCAGGGTGGGGTGGGAAACAGTCTCCCTGATGAGCAGAGAGCCCAATGCAGGACTCGATCCCAGGACCCTGAGATCATGACCTGAGCCTAAGACAGAGGCTCAACCCACTGAGCCACCCGGGCGCCCCTGGACAAGCTTCTTAACCTCTTCTTGATCTTAACCTCTTAACCTTACCTCTGTTTCCTCATCTTGAAAAGGAAGTTAATGGAATTGAATGTGTCGGTGTATGGGAGGTCCTTGGACCAGTGCCTGGCACATAGAATCTGTAAAATAAAATGAGTATGTTCAATGTCAACAGACTACATGTTCCGATTAGATTTTCAGACTAGACAAAACTACAACAACACCAAATCCACAGCCTATAAAAGGCACAGCTAACTCATAAGGTATTAAAAAAAAAAAAAAACCAACATCTAGGTATAGAAAGGTTGAAAATAAGAGAATGGAAAAAGATACTGGTTGGCCAGTGCCAGCCAGAAGATGACTGACCTTCAGGCCAAAAAAAAACCCCCTCAAACTATTCAGCTCAGGAAGGTCAACTTCATAACATTACATGTTTCAAGGAACAGACAGCTCAGTTTAAAGCTGTAGAACTGTCAATCTTAAAACATAGAAAAGGTTATACTGTTAACCCTTTGACATGAGTATGTACAAGAAATACAAACACATCATTGTTGAAAGAGATTTTTAATGCAGTTCTCTGAGTGACAGGTAGAACAGATTAACAGATTCAGGATAGAATTTTTTTTTTTAATTTAAATTTTTTTATTAACATATAATGTATTATTTGCCCTAGGGGTACGGGTCTGTGAATCGCCAGGTTTACACACTTCACAGCACCCACCATAGCACATACCCTCCCCAATGTCCATAACCCAACCACCCTCTCCATACCCACCCTGGCAACCCTCAGTTTGTTTTGTGAGAGTAAGTCTCTTATGGTTTGTCTCCCTCCCGATCCCATCTTGTTTCATTTTTTCCTTCCCTACCCCCAAACCTCACATGTTGCCTCTCCAATTCATCATATCAGAGAGATCATATGATAATTTTCTTTCTCTGATTGACTTATTTCACTCAGCATAATACCCTCTAGTTTCATCCACGTCGTTACAAATGGCAAGATGCATTTCTCTTGATGGCTGCATAGTATTCCATTGTATATATAGACCACATCTTCTTTATCCATTCATCTGTTGGTGGACATCTAGGTTCTTTCCATAGTTTGGCTATTGTGGACATTGCTGCCGTGAACATTCGGGTGCATGTGCCCCCTCGAATCACTACATTTGTATCTTTGGGGTAAATACCCAGTAGTGCGATTGCTGGGTTGTAAGGTAGCTCTATTTTCAACTTTTTTGAGGAACCTCCATGCTGTTTTCCAGAGTGGCTGCACCAGTTTGCATTCCCACCACCAATGAGAAGGGTTCCCCTTTCTCCTTATCCTCACCAACATCTGTCGTTTTTAGGACAGAATACTTAAATAATATAATTGACAGAATTGACCTCAGACATGTCTATCCAATAATTTAATGGTGCACATTCTTTTCAAGCACACATAGAACATTTCCAACAACCTGAGCATATCCTGTTTTCACAAAACAGATCTCAACAAAATCCAAGGCCAGACACCATTCAAGGTGTGTTCTCCAAAGCCTGCAGTAAAGTTGGGTACCAATAACAAACATTTAGAAATTAAGAAATGTAGCTCTAGATAACTCAGAGACTAAAGAAGAAATCAAGAGACACATTGGAAACACAGACCTGTACCCCTGAAACAAATAATACATTATATGTTAAAAAAAAAAAGAAAGAAAGAAAGAAAAAGAAATACACTGAAAGCACACACACAAAAAAAGTCATTGGAAGATATCGGAGCAGAGCTGAACCTGAACCCACATTCCACACATCACTGGGCTGTCACTGAGGCAACATTCACAAAGGGAACTTTATAGCTTTCCATATGTATCAAAAACAAAAAACACTAAACATCAGTGAGCTGAGTGTCTGTCACAAGAAGTTAGAAAAAGCACAGCAGATTGAACCCAAGAAAACAGAAGCAAGAAAAGAGGGTAAATTAATGACACAGAAAAACATACGCACTCAACAAAAAGGATCAGCAAATCCAAAAGTTGGTTCCTTGAAAAGACGAATAAAGTTATACATCTGGGGAGACCTATGAGGAGAGACAGGAGTTGGAGAATCACAGAGGTAATGAATCTTGACAAGTCTTTGGAAAAGTTTTGCCGAGAGATGGGGCAGTAGCTGGAGGTGTAGCCATAAGGTCAAGAAAGGAATTTGGTGGGGCGCCTGGGTGGCTCAGTGGGTTAAAGCCTCTGCCTTTGGCTCAGGTCATGATCCCAGGGTCCTGGGATCGAGCCCCACATCGGGCTCTCTGCTCAGCGGGGAGCCTGCTTCCTGGTCTCTCTCTGCCTGCCTCTCTGCCTACTTGTGATCTCTGTCAAATAAATAAATAAAAATTTTAAAAAGAAAGAAAGAAAGGAATTTGGTAAAGGCGGACATTACAGTTTGTTTGTTGTAAGAGCATTTATTCATCTCAGATACTTACTCAGCATCTGCTGTGTGCCACATAGTGTCCCGCCCCTGGGGAGATACCAAGTTAACAAAAGAGCTTGAGCCCATAGAGCTTCCTTCCAGAGCTTCCACTGAAGTAGGAAGAGACGGAGGATGAACAGTAATAAGCATAATAACAAACGTATGGAGTTGGAGAGAGACTCACGGGGTGGGAAAGAAGGAAGGGGAGCAAAGTCAGGGGCCAGGGAGTTCAGGGGGAGGGAGGGCTGCAGGGGAGATGTGGCCTCAGGGGAAGCGGATGGTGGGTACCCACAAAGGAGCAGTGGGCTGGGCGGGCTCAGATGCAAGGGGGCGGGCCCAGGCCGGATGGGGACTTTGGGAAATTCTCCTCCTATTATTTCTATAGTTTCAGTTAAACTATTTCCCATAACTCTAACTGGGTTTGCTTCATTGGTCCTATGTTGTATAACAGGTCAAGGCTGCCTTTTACTGAAGCTCATTAAAGTTGGCCCCTTACCACCTGCAGAGTCATTTGCTCTAAACTTTGAACATCTCCGAACCCTACGGAACCCTACGGAAAGTCCCTCAGTCCCTCGGAGCCAGAATTCAAAATTAATAGAGCCCTTTGGTCCCAGAGATAGCCCCAGGCATGGCTGCCACACTCCTGGAGGGATTATCTGCTCAGGCCGCTGCGGGCGGCTGCCCTCCCGGCTTCAGGAAGGGCGTGGGGCCTGGCATTGGGTCGCCTTGAGGCTCGGTTGCCCACCTGTCATGGACACCAACTGGGTTCGGTTTCTTAATAGTTAAAAGAGTGTGTCATAAAATTTCCAAAGCTGTTAACTGTGCTCCTCCACGAGGGGAACACATGGGAGCCCGTGGGACCCAGAGTGCCAGCTGGAGTTCTGTTTTCATCGTAGGGGGCGAAGGGAGGGACGTGACTGATTTGTTTCTCAATCTCGGAGGGCCATGGGAGGTACCAGATACCATTCAGAAAAGGCAACCGAAATTTTAATACCCGTCTCTGGATTATACAGACCTCGGGAGCAGAATTCTTACGGAGTTTTAGGATGAAAGCAGCTCCCAATACTCCCCTCCAGCCCGCGCTGTGATGCCATCATCCCATGTGCCGGTCCGTGCGGCGTGTGGGGCGGTAGGAGAAGACACTTGACGGATGACATTGACCTTTACTGTGTCCTGCTCCCTCTTTCTTTCCAGAGATGCCATCACAAAAATGAAAGATGTTTACCTAAAGAATCCTCAGATGGGAGACCCAGCCAGTTTGGATCATAAATTAACCGAAGTGAGCCAAAATATAGAAAAACTGCGACTAGAAGCCCAGAAATTTGAGGTATGAAGACGCTGCGCGTGAAAAGCCCTGTTGGAAGAAAAAGAAACCGAGGAAAGGCTGGGGGTCGTGCTGGGTTCATGCCGTAGCACACCAGAGATTCGTGCAAGACGTGTGGCTGGAGGGTGTTGGGAGGGGGGAGGTTGGCGAGTCATGATAAAAGGAAAAGTGGTCACACCCCTGGCTGTTCTGCCCCGTGGCATGCCTTCGGCCCAGGACTCCCCTAAATCCAGCACTGATCAATGTATTTGTACACCTTGTCCTTTGTGCTTGGCTTGGTCGGTCCTGTTCCAGCCCCTGCTGATGAAGGGGACAGTTGTGCGTGGGCTGTTGTGAATCCAGAAGTTAAAAAAATCAAGTCAGATACATTACGGTTCTTACAAAGGACCCATTATCAAAAGGTTATAGAGGTGACAACCACTGAGAGACACCAATTAGAAATGAGTAGGAAAGATAAATACTATAGTTTTTAAGGAGGGAGAGAGAGCACTCAAGAGCTATGGGCAGAAGGCTGCTTTTACCCACAAATTTTGAGGCTACAGAACATGGAAAAATGTAGCAGTGACTGATCGTGCCAGTCGGAATCGGTAACTTCTAGCAACGAAGGGTCAGATAACAGCTTTTTAAGACTCTTTCCAGACTCCGCCAATCAGTTAGAGGGTTTAGAACCTCGAAATGTTCTTTCCTGGTCATTTTTTTCCTCTGGCCTTTTCGACACTATTTTAAATGTTGCCCAAGATAAGTTTATTTTTTATCTTAATTTGATTTCCTGGAAACGCATTTCTTTACCCTTAAAAAGAGTGACTCACTCCTCAAAACAAAAGGTGCACGTAGCTTTCACACGGAGTCTCTGCTCCTGTGGGACAGGAGCCCCTTCTCCAGCGGGAGCTCACGGTCACAGAATTTTGGAGCCAGAAGGAACCAGAAGCGACTTAACCTGATTGATCTCACACAGCTGTTTTCAAAAGCCCAAGAGTAGCGGGGCACCTGCGTGGCTCAGTCGTTAAGCTCCCCCTTGATCTCAGCTCAGGTCTTGATCTCACGGTTGGAGATTCAGGCTCTGCACTGAGCTGCACGCTGGGCATGGAGCCTACTTAAAAAAAAAAAAAAAAGCCCAAGATTGTAACACAGTCCAGCGCTCTTTCTGCCACATTGTGACAGTGGCCTAAGCCCACTTGCTTCTACTTCTCCAGCGTGAGACGGGCTGGGAGCCGTGGTGTGTGGGTACTTGGTACAGCTGCATGCAGAGACACAGGAGACCCCCCCCCAAGCGTGTGGCCCTTCTTGAATCTCAGCCTCAGGGACCATGGAGCCCCCCTGAATCCGGGGCCTTCAAGACTCCCGGGCCGGGCCCTCAGCTGCGCTGTCTCTGGTGGCTTTTGCTTGCAGGCCTGGCTGGCAGAGGTGGAGGGTAGGCTGCCGGCACGCAGCGAGCAGGCCCGCCGGCAGAGTGGAATGTTCGACGCCCAGAACCCGGCCACGGTCAACAGCTGCGCCCAGGACCGCGAGAGGTACAGTATCTGTGCCGCGCCTGCCGTCCGGCGGGGGCAGCTTTGCTTTGTGTCCGTGTTGCAGTTCTGGAGTCTAGAAACGAGCGGAGGCACTTGCTCTGTATACCAAGGAGCCCGAGATGCCTGACCTGCCCTTTCCCCACGGCGTGGGTCCCTCGGGCCGCGTGGGGCGGCGATGGAGCACGCAGGGTGACCCGAGGTGGCCTTGGTGGCAGCGGTCGGGGGGCAGGGGGCGAGCGCTTCTCTGGGCAGTCGCTATAGTTGCTGCGTGGTTTCCTCTCTTGAGCAGCCCGGATGGCAGTTACACGGAGGAGCAGAGTCAGGAGGGTGAGGGGAAGGTGCTGGCCACGGACTTCGACGACGAGTTTGACGAGGAGGAGCCCCTGCCCGCCATCGGGACCTGCAAAGCCCTCTACACGTTCGAAGGTGACCTGTGTCCGCCCGGTTCCCCGCTTGTGCACGCTGTCCCGTCTGCTATGACTGGACCTTCTTCCGAAGCCTTCCAGATCTTTCTCACTCGTTTTACCCTGTGTTCCGCTCACCGTCATCATCATTATTTGGTTCAAGGTTGCATGTTTTGCCCGTTATTCTGCCCAATGGAACAGCGTTCATGCAGCTTACTTGCAGCAGATAATGTGGAATACTGATGATTTTTTTAAAAAAGATTTTATTTATTTGACAGAGAGAGAGAGATCACAAGTAGGCAGACAGACAGAAAGAGGGGGGCAGGAAGCAGGCTATCCGCTGAGCCCGATGCAGGGCTCGATCCCAGGACCCTGAGACCATGACCCGAGCTGAAGGCAGAGGCTTAACCCACTGAGCCACCCAGGCAGCCCATGATGATTTTATCCATTCATCCAGGAGATCCTGTCTTGGAAAGCCCCCAGAGGGACGGGGTACGGGATGGGCTGGTGTGGCGTCTGCCCCTGGGGAACGAGGACACACACACATTTGGGGGAGGTCCGCTGGTGGCATGTACCAGAGGTGGGGTACGGAGTGCTGGGCGCTCATGGGACAGGGCACTCACTTCCTTCAGAGAATTTAATTCAGGGAACTCTCCAGGCCTCTGTGCATCGGAGGGAAGAAGGTGAGGGAAGCGTGGGCTCGTGGGGCTGGAGCTTAGACATCTGAGGTGGGAATGATAGAATCTGAGACTAGGGGGTAAGAGAGTCGTCTGGATTTTATCTGGCAGCAGTTGAGCTGTTGAAGACGTTTGAGCGGGGCGTTGGCACCGTTCGAGCTGCGCCTTCGGATATGTCTTGTCACGTGTGGGGGACCAGTGGGAGAACAGGGATGAAGGGTTTGAAAGATTAGCCTGGAGTTGCCAGAATGATGTCCGTGGAGAAAGATGCGAAGGAGGCCGTGGGAGAAGCAGGCTGAGCTCAGGTAGGTTTGGGAAGCTCTGGGACAGAGGGATCTTCCAGATCTTCTCACGACAGACCACCTGTGTGGTGGGACGAGAAAGCTCCAGGTTCACGGTTGCCATCTTAATCTCATTCCCACGCCTCGGCCCCACCCCGACGGCACCCCTGTAAGCAGCTCCCTGGCCAGTCTGCGCTTGAGAACGCTGTGTGAGCAGTGGGCGCTGTTCTGGGGCAGTAACGTCAGCAAGTGGTCTTGGGGACCCCAGTTAACGAGTGGGGACAGTGTCTGAAAGGGTGTCATTAAAGCCATAAGCGCACGCTCCCCACAAGAGACGAGCAGACCAAAGATGTCCCCTGGGGGAGCACCTGGCTTCCTGGGAGAGAGAGGGGGCTCCCTGGAGGACTGGAGAAGCATTGTTGGGGGGGGTGGGTCTGGAAACTTCTGCGTGGGATGAGCCCTTGCAGGGTCCATGCGTCTGTCCCTCCCTCACTGCCCCTCTTCCCTTGCTAGGCTCCCCGTTCGCGCTCCGCCTGGCTTCGGCGAGAAGCCTGACCCCTTCTGATGTTGCTTCTCCAGGTCAGAATGAAGGGACCATCTCCGTAGTTGAAGGAGAAACGCTGTACGTGATCGAGGAAGACAAAGGCGACGGGTGGACCCGCATTCGGAGAAACGAAGACGAAGAGGGTTATGTCCCCACTTCGTACGTCGAAGTCTATTTGGACAAAAATGCCAAAGGTGCTAAGACTTATATTTAATACAACTTAAAAAAAAAAAAATTGGAGTTGTCTGTCCCCACAACTATGACTGTTCCGGGCGGTTCTTCCAAAGCCGGAGGACCCCGGAGTGCGTGCTGTCCCGTGGCCACGTGGTGGGCTGGTGGGCGCTCGACACCCGGATTTCCTTGGCCGGTTTTGACTATAAAACGTTTCACTTGCTCATGGAATAGGACCAGGAAAGCTGCCAACTGCCAATTTACAATTTTGTCATTTGAGCTCAGATAAACAGTTCTTCCTCTGGCAGTATCTGTAGGTATCAAAAAAAAAAAAGTTGCCTTCTAGCTTCTAATTGCTATTTCTGAATTTTAAAAGTTCACACACATCAGCAGGGTGGGCAAGACTTCCGTTCTGTTTCTCTCTCGCAACTGCCGTGAACGCAACCCCCTTAGGATGTTACGTTTTGAAACTTCGTAACTTGAACCGCGCTCGTTCGTTTGATCTTACAATCATTTGCTTTGGAGGAAGTCATCAATAAAACCTCCCCCTCCTCGAGGAAAGAATAAGACGAGTCCTATATTGGTACTAAATGTGTGTATTTTTCCTTCAACGTGTTGAAGACCATTGGTAGATCGTCGTGTTTTCCTCTCCCGTCTGCATGATCCCAGAGAACCAGCCGAAAACTGGAAAAGCTTGGTCCACGGTTAGCCAGTAGACTTTTACACGAGGCCCTGAGCTCCCCGCTGCCCTTGACAGAGACGATCAGATGCCCTAGTGCTGTTTCCGTAACTGACCGAAAACCCAGCGAGCTTCTGCTGGAGCTTTTGTGGCCAGAGGAGCGGCCTTCAGCTCCCAGGTGCCCAGGTGAGGCTGTAAGGGGCAGCAGCTGCTTCTACACACAGAACCCCCCCGAAGCTCATTGCGTCCGCACTCGTGTTTTGGCTCGGTTGGTTGGTTTTTTTGATCCTTGGCATCTTTAAGACCCAAAATATGGATTTACTGAAAAATCATTTTAGAATTGCTAGCTCGTTTTATTTTACATAATGAACCATAACCAGACTAAAGTATTTCACCGTCTTGAAAGGGATCTGGGTCGCGTGGGGATTTGCGTTTTTTAAATCGGCAGCGTAGGCGGTGAAATGGATCACAGGCGTGCCCCGCCCCAGCTGTGCGCCCCTTTCGAGAATCTACCCTGCGGTCCCAGAGAACCAGCTATGAAGGGCTCACGGCCGAGGGGTCAGGTTCTGATTTTCTTTTTATTTGGCTTTGAGAATTACTTATTCATGTCCTTCCTACTTTTAAATAGGAAATTAGCTCCTTGCTTTTACACCGTGAGCTCCTTTTATAAGCGCAAATCGATTTAAAGTTGATTCTACCAAAAAAAAAAAAAAAAGCTGATTTAATAAAAACAACAGCAGGGGGCCCCACTGTTACAGGTTCTTGTGGATTCTCTCAGAAAGTTCTCATTTCCCCAGGACCACCAGAATGGAACTTCATGAACGTTAATAACAGCCTGATTTTTAATACACGGTCTGTTGTTAAATAATGATTGGTTGCCAGGAAGTTGCAAAGACCGTACAGAGCCGTCCCGTGTACCCTTGAGCAGGTGTGTCCCCCCCGCCCCAAGTGGTGGCTTCGGATGGAATTGTGATACAAATGCCCAAAGCAGGAAACGGACATTGGTCAGCCCGCTTTTCAAAAATATCATTTTGTGATTCTGGTTTCTCGTGCCTTGTTCCGCCTTTGCTGACATAATATCGATAAAGCCATTCACCCTGGACCCCAGACCTCTCAGGAAAATCGTTTCTGTTCCCCTTTGTGAATATTCCCCACAAGTAACTCTGCTGACCCTGAGGCCGCGGGGTTCCTCCTCTTCACGGGCTGGGGGAGGTGACAGAGCTGGGCATGGACCCAGGCGAACAGGGGACCTCAGCTATTAGAACCAGAGCTTTCTGTCTAATGATGGGACCCATTGCCAGCCTGTGAACTGCTACAGGAAGTGACCCAAACACTGACAAAGTCTTAAAATGGCCAAGAGTACGAGAGCCTTTGGAAGCCTCCCTTGGAAAGTATGGCATTCCATGACGTTGTTGTGGGTTTATTTATTTAGGTGGTTTTTTTTTCTTAACAGTTGTGCAAATTTGATTCAGAAAACGGCTCAGTTGGTTTGTGGGGGTGGGGGTGGGGGCGCGTGTTGATTTTGGGCGCATAATTGAATGCTTGTGATGTTAAGTTGTGTGCCCCAGGCCCTTAGCACAGGCAGCTGCGGACGAGGGATGGAACAGTGCCTCGGTGCCAGCCAGCCAACACACCAAGTATTAGGAGAAGTCCTGAAACCACTCCCAAAGAATCAGAGTTCCCATTTCTGCCCAGAATAGACTTTGGTATTTTTCAACCCCCTCCCACCACCCCTGGTTATCTGCTAAAATGAAAGAAGCCAAGTCTCAGCTTGTGGGTAAAGTTTTCTCCTTTTATTTTAGAGACGCATTTCGAGGTTCCTCGTGTATGCATAGAAGCCTGTCTTCCCCACGGGTTTCTAAACTTGCGGGCAGCCCCAAGAACACTGCCTCCCGCCAACCCCTCCCAGGCCGAGGGGCTGCTGCTTCCTCATGCCCAGAACTCAAAGCAGCGGTTTTTGCGCCGTGCACTCGTGTGTGTGTGTGTGTGTGTGAGTGTGTGTGTGTGTGGTCTACAATGTGACTATTTAATAATTGCCAAAATATTTAGACTAGAGGAACGTCCAGTGGTCAGTTGGATCTCTTCTTTCATGGTTCAGTTTGGTTTTTTAAATTGCTTTCTGTTAAGTATGTCCGAAATCCCCCCGCCCGCCCGCCCCCCATATATTTGTATATACTGCCGTTTAAAAACTAAAAGGATGACTTGAATTCCTTGTTTTAACGTTTGACTCTCTTGTCTGTTTGTTTTATTGGTGATTCTGCTGCCTAATGACCGTTTTTGTTTTGTAACCGCTGGGGAGGCCGGAAGGACTAGGTCCCCCGCTGGCTGCTCAGCCTTGACTTTATTGTAGACACTTGTGTTCTGAGTAAGTTTTGCTCCAACACGGCCAAAATGATTGTCTCTCTCTCTTCTCACCCTGAAAGAAACGAATCTGTCTGGCTCCTCCTGGTTGTACCCTCGTATCTGCCTCTCTAATAAACGTATTTTTCTCAGTGTTGTGTATTTTAAATGATTTTTCACCTTTTCCGAGAAAATGATTCTGTGTAATCCGGGCATTTAACTCTGTTGTCTTCAGTCATGGGGACCTTTTCCGGCCAAATGCTTTTTTAAAATTCTGCCCCTCCCCCACCCTTTTAAATGACACCTGCTCTGTCTCTCGCCCTGTGCGCACCTGAGGGCTTTCCGAGTCTCTGTCGCCTTCCTCTCCTCCCCACTCCGGATGAAGAACTTTCACTGTTGATTGCTGAGTAACAGGTTTTTCCTTTTCACCAAGATTTTACTGGGTTTTTTGGGGGGTTTTTTTTTGGTTTTTTTTTTTTGGTTTTTTGGGTTTTTTTGGTAAAGCGCCGACAGTGTCGGTCAGGGGAGAGAGTCAGGCCTTGAAATTCCTTGCATCCGCCTGGAAAGCGGGTTGCATTTCTTTCTTCCGAAACTCAGCGGACCCAGAAAGAGGGGTCGGGGGTGGATGGGCGCGGGTCTGCCGCGTGGGCCTCTCTTCCCCCTGAAGGGAAGGCTGGCCCCTGAGGCGACCAGAGACCGTGAAAGTTCCTTATCTCCGACGTGCCCCATGGTAACACTCCACGCTCTAGAGCTGTCCCCCTCCCGGGCGGTGCAGACCAGATGCCCGCCCCGAGCCGCCGGCCTCCCTCTAAACACTCTTTCTCTTTCTGTCTTTTTGTGTTGTAGATCCCTAGAGGCGGTTGCAGGAGCCAGAGCCTCGGTGAGCCTTCCCCGGAGAAACCCTTCGGTCTGCTTGTCTCCACAGGCCTGGGCGCCCGCGCGTGTAGACGGCTCCTGGGCTGGGCCGGCCCGCGGTCCCCTCTGTCGTCACGGCCTGAAGCCACATCCTCTCCCCACCTGCCACGCGGCTGCTTTGCCTTTTCCTTTCTATACTCCCGACAGCATGCTTCTCGTGGCTCGTCTCCCCCCATGGCCCCATCTGGCCACCTCTCCGGGGGCAGGTCTGTCCCTGTCCCCATCCCCATCCCCCTCCACCCGACATGGGGCCACAGAAGGCAGCTAGACACGTGTTCCCTCCTTCCCGGGCCCCTGCCTTGGCCCTCAGTCTACCTGGCGCATCCTGGCCCGTCCATGGTTCACACTGTGCCTTTCGTGAAAACTTCACCACCGGTCTCCCCCCTCCCCCGGGGAGACTAACAGAATCTGGACAAGGAGGGTCAGGCGTGCGCCGGGCAGACTGAGCGCCCGAATGTCACGGGTGGGGTCCCGGGTCCCGAGTCCCTTCGGTGGTCCTTTTCTGGCTAGGGGTCCTCGCCTCATACTAACCATCAGCTCTTGCAACATTTCCTGGCCTGAGAGTGTCCGTGGGGAACACGCAGGTGCTCACACGCAGGCACACAGCCCCCTCTGTGGTGTGCACGCTTACACACACACACACACACACACGTTTTGATTTGGGGCCTGTGCTCCGTGGCCTGGAAAGGTCCACACTGGAAGTCAAATTCCATCTCTTGAGGGCCACACGCAGAGGCTTGTGTCCACCTGCCATGGAGTGAGGGAAGGTCCCAGCCCACCGTCTCCCCGCCATTGCCCTGGGAGCGGGGGCCGCCGGGCGAGGCACACGGCGGAGCCAGAGGCTCACCTGGGCGCTAGCTCGTTGCAAAGTGAGAATTCCCGAGATTCCCATCGTAGGATTCTAGCACTTTCCGCACCAAAGACCCCGTGCTGCTGGCGGTCCTTCAGGTGACCCTGCGGCTTCTCCATGTTCTCACGTGCTCCGCGGGCCACGGAGACTGGATTGAGCTGGCTTTTTGAGCGAAGTCCCTTCCTCTTATGGATCCTTGAGGAAAACGTGAGACCACGTAGCCCGTGGCCAGGCGTGCCGGAGCTTCCCGTCTCTGGTGCCGACACGGTCGGTCAGACGGCACTGGCTGCGAGTTTCTGTGAATGAGAACCATCCGAAGCCCAAGAAGGAAATCGGGCCTCTGTCTTGTCTCGTGTGGCTGTTGGTACCCGGGTGGTCGCCTCGAACATCCTTAATTCTCCTCGACATTTATGAATCTAAGACAAGGATGTCTTACGGGAGCCGAAGGGACAGGGACAGAAAGGACTGGTGCTAAGGGATGGGCCTGTGTTCAGCGGCCACAAAAGGGTTCCTCTCAGCAAACCAGGGTTGACCACGACTGCACACCTGCTTCCGAGAGCAGCTCGGTGACGAGAAGCCTCCAGCAGGCAGATGTCTGGGGTAAGGAGGTGACGAGGAGGTGGCTCCGGGTTTAAAGGCGAGCGAGCGAGCTTGAGCGCGCTCCCCTCTTCTGTCTTTCTGTCTGCGTCTCTGTCTCTCGCCCTGAAGGGGGTAAACCCTTCAGCGGAAGACCAGCCGCCCACCTGCCCAAGCGGCTCGGGGCTGCTGTGTCGGCAGCGCGCCTCCCCTCCCCACGGCGGCTGCCCACCTCCCCTGCAGCGAGGTCTAGCGCCTCGTGAGAGGGCTGCTCGGCAGACGCCCGTGTCCCTGCAAACCTGCAGGTGTGTGGTTAGGACCGGCCGGCCCAGCGGCTCCACGGAGGGCTTCTCCGCCAGCCGGGGTGGTGGGCAGGGAGTGGGTATCTCCGCGAACTCCCGGATCTCCCCAGGCCAAGTGGACCGCTCTCCACTCCGCAAGGATGCTAAATGGTTTTTTAAATCGATTTTCAGGCCTCGGGAATGCATGTGCATTGCATCGTTCATACTCTGGGGTCAGGATAGATTAATTTCTCGCAACATAGGGAAAATGGTATAAGCTACAGTGATTTTGTTCTTTTAGTGTCTGCTAAGCCCAGTATAGACTATGCTCGTATCTTGTAACCCCTGCGCCTTTTTGTTTTGGTTTGTTTTTCCTTCTGTACCGCCTGCGTCCAACAAGGAACGGGTCATAGGTGCTTCTCCGTGTTAGCCTTGGTGTTCTTCCGGCAGGTCCGTGTGGCCGTGTGGGAAGGGGGGGCCCTGCAAACCCGAGCTCGTTCAAGGAGATGAGTTGTTAGAGGGTAGTTGAGGTGTCTTCTCTGCTCTGGGGATCCTCCTGGGAAATTCGTCTAGAGGACTATGGACCAGTTCCCGTAGAGTAGGGGAGCTTCGCCATCTGCTTCTCGGGGGGATCCCCCTGCCTCCCCCCTTGGCCTGTCACTTCTCCCCAGTGCTAGAACAGTGTTATTGTAAGAATGACTGAGTTTTAAGACACCTGCCCTGAACGTGACCTAAAAACATGAAAGGGAGGAACTTGTCATTCACCCTGTTTTTCCTTTGCAAGATAAAAAGGCATGGAAAGCGGTCATGGGATTTTCCTTTGGGTCTTTCGCGCGCTCCCCTCGGAAGCTTCCAGGCTGTGAGGCTCAGGCCGGATAAGCTGTAGCTTATCTCGAGGGTGGTAGCCCAGGGCCCCCGCTTAGGCGTTCTGGTGACATTTGTAATTACAGGAGAGAGTTCGCTGAACGTGGAAAAGGGACATGGATGCTGAGTATTTTTCCAGAAATCTTAGTTTCATACTTCCTCATGCCTCTGCCTCCCTGCGCGTGTGCCGTCAAAACACTTCTTTAAAAGAGCGATCCAAAATTCTATTTTAACCTGATGTTGAGCACCTTTAAACGTTTTGGTTTATTTGTGTGTGTGGCACTAATTCTAAACTTTGGAGGCATTTCAGTGTTGTAACGGCCCCCTGCCATTGTGAAGGTTCTGGAGTTGCCCGTTTGTCTCTGGAGATGGAATTAAACCAAATAAAGTGCTTCCATTGGAAGGCTTATATTGACCTTGTAACTATATGTTAATCTTCTAAACGTTAAATAAAAGTATAACCTCTGTTATGTTGTCACGGGACTGTTTCTGGCACGAAGAGGGGACCCCGGGCCTGGAAGCAGGCAGGGCCCCGGGGCTGGGCCCGTGTGCCCCTCACTGATTGACCGTGTGAACCCGCGACGAGTCCTGTAGCCATCCACTCCGGCCGGGCTTGCGACCTCCCAGTTGTACCCACCGCCCCGCCTGCTGGAGGACAAGCTGCCTGGGACCCTGTGCTGTGGGATTCTGGTCGGTTCCGTACAGGGATTGGGGCGGGGCTCCTTAGGAGCAGCAAATGTGTTTTCCGTGCACCTTCGGCGGGCGGCTCCTCTAGGTCTTCCGGGCCCCCATTGTGGGGGGGCGGGGGAGCCAGGACCACCGGGCACGTTTGCATTCTGTGGGCAGTCCGCTGTGGCCAGTGCTGGAGCCCACACCGGAGCGGGGAGGACAGCCAGCCCTGCCCCTTGCGGATGTGCGCAGCGGGAGGCCCGGATTCCGGCGGCGCGGAGAATCGCACCCCAGGCTTTGCGGGGAAGGTACAGTGATTTGTGCCCACACCTCTTTAGGTCCTAAAGCCCCTCAGAGCCGTTTTAGAACAGTCGGGAAGATGTGAGGCCGCTGCAGAGGTGCCAAAAGGCGGGAGGCCACCAAGAGGCGGGGCTTCACCTTGGCCCCAGCCTCCCCCCAGAAATGGATGTGGGCGGCCTTCAAAAAAGCAGGGGCTCCTGACTGCGAAGGCAGCAGCGCTGCAGGGGCCTGGCCGGCTCCGCAGCCCGCCCGGGGGCAGGGCCAGGCCTCCCGGGCCTCCCCTGGCCTCCTGGAGCCCTCCACACCCAGGCCGAGCCACGCGGCCGCACAGGCGGTGGCAACCCCTAGCGGGAGAGGGGCCAGCACGCGAGGGGAAGGACGCCCCAGGGCAGGACCCGGTGTCCCGAAACACAAGGTGTGCGTGGGGTGTGTTCAGGGGCCCCTCTTTTAGTTAAAGGAGAAGAGATCTCTGGAGTTGCCGGCCCCGCAGGACAGCCCGGACATCCAACTCTGAATCTGCAGCCAAAGTGAGGCGCTGGGGGCCTGCGGGAGGGGGCGCTGGGAGGGAGGGGTTGGCCGGCCAGCCTAGCCCAGTGGGGCTAACGTCCCCGTGTCCTGGGCGGTGAGGAACCCCCGTCCCTGGCTGGAGGAGGCCTCCTCTTCCCTCCCTGGCCTCTGCTGTGCTGTTCTGAGAAGGCGAGGCAGTAAGCCTGTGGCCAGCACCTTCTCGGACCCGGGATTGAAGTGCAAACCCGGCACTCAGCAGCCACTTTGTGAACACCAGGAGCTGCTTCCCGGAGGTGCCTCCGTGAGGCCCCGCTTTAAACACTACCTGTCCAGATGGTGCATGAGGGACCCGTACTGAAATGACCTCCCGTCCGCTGGGGGCATTGCTGGGCCCCACAAGGTGGAGCAAAATCTGAGAAAGGCCCCAGCGTGCCCTTGTCCTCAGAGCTAAGGGACCAAAAGCTGTGAGAGGAAAAGTGGGGATCTCCTCATTTGTAGCTGCTGGGCCCCAGGAGGAGACGGGGGTCGGCAGGTGGGAAGGATCCCAGGCAGCATTCTGCCCCTCGGCGTGCCCATCCTCCCACCGCACCAGGCCGAGCCCTGTCCCCACTCCCGGCTCCCCAGACCCCACCTGGGCCAGGCCGCTCGCTAGTCTCAGATCCAAGGACGGGCTGGAGACGGCGTCCTAACGCGTCCCTGGGCCAGCTCTCCAGAACAGTGTCCTACACCGTGGGCTGCCCTCTTCACAGCCCCCGAGGGCGTTAATCTCTTCCACACCGGCTCCGCTGCAGAGAAAAGAGCCAGAGGGAGGTGTGATTCCAAAACCCCACTCGCTTCCCCCAAGGCTCTGGGGGCTCCAAGCGAGGCGGTGTCAGACTGGCAGGATCATTTGTGTTTTGCACTGAATTCCGGCGAGAACAAAGGTAGGAAGCCAGACTCCGGGGAGGGGGGGGAGGGCTGCACCTTGCAAATGCATTTTCTGATGCAGGTTTGTGAGCAGGTTTGTGAGCAGAAGCGTGTGCCCAGGCAGCAGCTGGGAGCGTGTGGGCGCCCCCGCCTGTGGGGGAGGCAGACTCTGGCTCCTCTGAACGGGGCTGCTGGAGTGAGACCCGGCCCGATCGGGGGTGGGGGACGCCTGCGGAGGGAAGACGGGAGGTGGCCTCCCCCACTGCCCACTGCTTCGCGGCCCCACTCAGGCTGAGAAGTGAACACCCACAGTCTCCTGTTTTGTCTGCCGATTCCGGCCTCTGGAGCCTCTTAAAGCCTGATGTGTCAAGGGAAAATAGGAAGGAAAGACTTTGAGGCCAACTGGACCTCCCTCTTTCTCCCCAACCTTCCTGCAGTACAAGAAGCCCGTGTCTCCAAACCTCCAATATCAGCCAATGCCCCGGACGGAACTACTTCTTTCTCATCTTCCACGGAAGACAAGAAAGGCCAATCACAAAATCCGTACCACGGAATTCCGTGTGTGCGACGTCCCAGTGTGAGCAAAGCTGCGCGGCAGATGCGGGAAAGCTAGAAAGAAAAGCGAGGGATGAAGGACAGGCCGGAGCTACTTCTGGGGCGGGGCGAGGCGGCCGCTGTGCTCGGGAGGGAGCCACAGGGGTTCACGGGGCCCTGGGATGGTCACAGCGGGGGGAACCGTTCCTGAAGCGGAGCACCGTCAGCTCACGCTCGCGTCTGATGGGATTTCACAAGCATGTTTCAAATAACACACAAAAACCTCGCACTCATCTCTCCCCACCAAACCCCAAGGAGTGTAAACAAAAACCAACCAAAACCACAGGGAAAATAAAACGCCGGGAGCTCCCCAGGTAGGACCTCAGCAACCACGATGCTGGGATTCAAGGAGCCAATGTCCGCTGTCCGCCAGCCGTGGAGCCCTTGCCCGGCCCGGGGAGGGTGACCCCAGCCCAGAGGGGTTATCCCGAGTGGCCAAGGCACGGCGCCAGTACGGGACCAGCCCATGGGATGTGCTGGCCTTACCCCCCCCACCCCCACGGCTGGCCCCACTTCTCTGGGCCAGGGCTGGTTCCAGGAAAAGGCGGCACACGTGCGTTCGCGGCCTCTCTTCCTTGTCGGCTCCCGCGGCCTCCAGAGGCTGGCTGGTTTCCGAGCCCCGCCAAGCCCTCTCCGGTGTGCGGTGGTGCGGGCCGCTCATCTCCCCACCCCGCCCCACCCCCAGCGCAGGCCCCCCACTGACAGTGACCTGCCGCGGGTACAGACGACAGCCAGGGCTGCGGGGGATGCATATGTATTTATTAGGACATTCTGAACACCAACAAGGCCGCGCAGACGGCGGGGACAAGTTTACGAGCAGGGCAATGACTGGCCACCCAGCCCCACCGCGGGGGTTGCCCGCCGGCCGCAGCAGGAACTTTCAAGACTGTAGCAAACGTCAGGGGGTTCCAGAGCGGCTTGTTCTCCGATCGCCATCGCGCGCTGCCTCGGCGGGGGAGGACCCGGGTAGAAGGGCTGCAGAGTGAGCTACCGGCGCGCCAGCTTCCCGGGCTCTGCCGGAATTCCAGCCGCATCTGCTTCTAGAGACTGAAGGCCACGGTGTGTGGGGGCCCAGGTCCCGAGGCCCCTTCCCCACCCCCCCTTCCCTCCAGTCCCGACGAGGTGGGCATCTCGCCCCAGCTGCTTCGTCCAGGGGTGTGGGTGTCCCCAGAGGCAAGCCCGGGCCCCTTGCGCTCGTCCCAGGGCCCCAGCGTGGCCCGTTTCAGCATCCAGAATGGGCTTCCACGGCCGATGTGAGAGCTGCCCTGGCGCCACAGCTCCCCGGGCTCCCCATGACAGTGTGGTGAGAAACAGGGAGCCCCCCCGCCCCAGGGAAGCCACGTCCGCAGCAAAGGACAGTGACGCGGGGCACTTCTGTCTCATCACCTGGTTCCCTGCTGGGGACGAGCGACAGCCAGTCCGGGGAGCCAGCTCAGCAGCACGGGGAGCCAGGGACCAGCTGCTTCCAGAAACAATCTCGCCCAGCAGATCCAACCCCCACCCTGGGTCCCCATCGCAACAGAGTCCAGAATCGTCAGTCTGCAGGAGGAACGCTGAGAGCAGCCCAGGGTTCTGGAGCCTTTCTGTGACACCGGGGGATCGGGCCAAAGCGGGGCCTAGGGCAGAGCTGGCTCCAGCACCCCCCGCTGCTCCAGCTCGGTTCTCTGTGCCCCAGCTTCCCGCTGTGCGTGCTGGGTGCTGCGCAGCACCTAGAGCTCCTCCTGCCCTGCGGTCCCTCGGTCACAGCCCTTGACTTGGAGTTCGAGGGACCCAAGCTGGGCCTGAACGAGCAAGAGGGCAGGTGGGGGACACAACGGCCGTGACAAGTGGACACAAAGACCCAAGTTAAGGAACGTCGTAGAGCCCTGGTTGTTTGAAGAGCCCACAGCAGGTGTATTTCCTGACCGCGACATCGCTCACTGGGACTCCCCAGCCGCCAGCCTCTCTTCAGGGCACACACATGCCCTCCGCAGGGAGAAGGGCCAAGGCGGGGGCCTGTGGGGACACTTGGGTCACTCGGCCCAGCGGGGCTCACGAGAGGGTTTTTCCAAACAGTCTCCCGGAAGGTGCATTCAGGGCTGCGTTCTTCCAACACACAGGGGACGGGAGAGGGTCTCTGCAGAGGGAGGGGACTTACAGGCTGGCCCAGCAGGTCACACGGCCCGGGTCTCGGCTTCAATCTTCTGCTCCCCGTGTAGGCTCTCTGGGTCCTGGAGCTGGGCCACGCTCTGTCGGATGGCGATCTCAGGGCCACCGCCATACAGGCTGTTCAGGTAGACCCAGGTGTCCTCTGAAATCTGCCCGTAGTCAGCTCCTGCAGGCCCGAGGCCAGGCGGTCGGGGCTGCGCCTGCGCCACCCACTCACTTCCCCTGACCCCAACTCCCGCCCCAAGAGGCCATGTCTTGGCAGGGGGACTCCGGGAGCTCCGTGCGCTCCCCCGCAAAGCTGTTCCAGAGCAACCTCGGGACGCTCCGAGGGATGTCACTTCTCCAAGGACCCCGGAAGGCGCATCTCTGGCTGCCGCCCATTTCCCGGGGTGTGGGGTGCCCGCAAAGGGCAGGCAGAGGCCCGCACAGGGCCTGGGTAGGACAGGCGGGGGCTTCAAGTGGGACTGTGACCAACAGCCAGGAGGGACCATAGAGAGGCCGGCTGGCCGGGGACGCCAGGGCTGGAGCCGGCGAGACTCACCCTGCTTCAGCTGGATATGGCCGCTTCCTTTGACCTGTGCGATCCTGCTGTTGTCGATGGGCCCGGGGGGCTCTGGAACAGACCCGGCTCAGGCTCAGCGCCTCAGAGGCTCTGCGGCAGCGGGAAACCCACCTGCCCCCGCCATGGCCCTCCACCTCTCCGCAGGCAGAAGCCATTCTCAAAGCGTGACTCCGACATCATGACCCGGGAGAGGCTGTCCGGGGCCCACAGGGGCCAGGTGATGTGCTCACGGGGGCAGGTGCCAGGCACGGAATGCTCGGCTACCAAAGCAGGAGAGCGGGAAGGGACCCGGGGCATCCCAGCAGCCCGCAGAGGGGGTTTCTGGGATTTCAGACCCTCGCTGAGCACCATTCCCCAAATCACACGGCATCCTCGGCAACCAGGTGACTTGAGAGCTGTTTCCAGAGGCCGGGGAGGAAGTGCCCCAGGAAGGGCCAGCAGAAGGCAAAGCTGGGGCCCGAGGGCGGGTTGCAACTCCGGAGCAAAGCCCCAGCCCTACACCAACACCAGGGAGCCCCCAGGCCCCTCCCCCTGCCCTGAGGCCTGGCTGGTGCTTAGGTCCCGAAAGGCCCATGTTGGCCTGCTGCTGGCCCGGCCAGGCCCCAAGCCCTAGTCTGGGAGCCCATGTGTGGGGCTCGAGGGTGGGGGGGTGGGCCGCGGGCAGGCCAGAGCTTGGGCTCAGCCATTTCTCGCTGGGGCCTGTGGAGGGTTCTGGGAGGCTGCCCGGTTCCAGCTCTGGAAAGTGAGCAGTCAGAGGACACTGTAGCCACGTTCTTCTTTCCCAAGAGTCTAAAGCCATCTGGCCACTAAAATCTTTCTTCAGGGCAAGCAAACCCCCAAAGAAAAGTGCCCGGCAGGAGGGAAAAGCACCAGCGGGGACGGGATGCGAGGGAAGGGACAAGTAAGACCACTCCAGTCCTGCCGCAACAAGAAGGCCCGGCCCTGGGCACCACCCCCCCCCCCCCCCCCCCGCCCCCCGCCCCCCCGTCACAGCCCTGGGGCAGGGGAACACCTGTGCTGGGGGCAGGCCAGGCCCGTGCTACACTCACCGTTGTCCTTGCCCTTGCCCTTGACAAAGGCCTCCCACTCCCGGAACCACTGCATGCTGATGCAGTAGATGACGCCAGGGGCCTCCTCCGCCTGGAAGGCTTTGTTCAGCTGGGCCAAGGGAGGGGCCGCAGAGGGGAGGGTCAGCACCACGGGCCCAGCACCCTGCCGACCCTCCCTGTCCTCCTGCCCTCCCCACCTCTTAGAAAACCCCGGACACTCTAGGTAGAAAACTAGGGGGCTCCCAGACGAGCTCGGAGAGCCCTCTGCCGCAGTCCCACCCTCCAACGTCTGCAGGGGACACTGAATTTCTTCAGCTGAGGTCCCAGGCCGAGCCCCCCCCCAACCATTTAACGGAAGGCACTGACTTGTTCCGTTAACTCTCCTGACATGTCGTCTTCTCCTGGGCACAAAGCTCAGAGTCCCTTACTGTCTTTTACCCACGCTCCACTCCTGAGGGGCGGTGGTCCCCAGTCACCCTGTTCCCAGCAGCCCCAGGCCACGCACGCACACCTGCTGCCACTGGCCATTTCACCACTTGTTTTCACTGAATGCACCTTTCCATGTCACTCTGTACAGCCCCACGGTTCTCACGAGCGGGGAGATCTGCCCCCCAAGGGACACGGCCAATGAGTGGACGTGATTTTTGCCGTCACTGGCATGCGGGGGCCAGGGACGCTAACTGTCCTTTCACGCACAGGACAGCCCCCGCAGCAGTCACCCAGCCCCGAGCGGCAGGGCTCTGTCCTTTCCACGGCGGCTCAGCAGCTCACCCAGCAGATGGACCTGAGCCTCCGGAACCTGACCCTCCTGCCAGCAAAGCCTTCAGTGTCTGGGTGCTCTGTGCTCCCACGGGACAGGCCTTCCATGAGGAGCCCAACCCCGCAGGGCTCCTCAGTCCCCAGCTCCCCACCTGTCCCCTACAGAGGCTCCCGTCCCTCCCCAATGCCCCGACCCCACGCACCTTAATGAAGGTGTCGATCTCGATCCGCCTGCGCTTGGCCAGAGCCTCGATCTCCACCTGGCAGATGGAGCACACGTACAGATGGTTCACGGCGGGGCCACCCCCGAATCTGCACCCGGAGGAAGGGCAGAGAGAGAGAAAGAGTGTGAGCGCACCCTGAAGGGAGAGTGCCAGAGAACCAGGACTGCCCTCCACTTGGCGGCTTTCTCCTCCTCCTCCCAGGAGGCTCCCTGATGTCCCCCTGGCCCGGCCACGGAGCAGCCCTGAGTGCCCTGTGCATGGCCTGTTGACTTTTCTGTCGCCCTCAGACTGGCAGGGGACCTGAGTGCCACAGGCCCACGGAGCCCGACCCGCCACCTGCCCCAGGGCGGGCGTGTTACAAAGCTATGTTTGCAGGCTGAAGGGCGGACTAACAATCTTGCTTTCCCTCTTGGCTACCCAGCAGGGGCTGCTGAGGCCCGCGGCCCACCTGGCCAGACCCTGGGGACAACGTCAAAGGGAGGCAGAAGCTTGTCCCTCTGCAGGCAGGAGAGCAGATTCCCACAGGATACGGGGACACATTTCCCTGTAGGGCCCTGACCCACCTGCCTACCTCCAGGCCGAGTTTTTGAACCTGACCTGCCAGCGGATGGCAAAGCCTGTCTGGGGAGAGGCCGCCTGGCCTATCTGACCACTCTCTCAGGGGCTCACATCCTGCCTGCCCAGCTGCACAGCGACCCGGGCCCAGGCATCCTCAATGAGCCCCAGTTCTGGTCCTGAGGGACTTGAACCTGGAAGCCCAGGCCACCTGAGCTGGGCGGCTGGAGCCAGTGCACCGGGGACTCTGTGAGAAGGACCCGCTGGCCACGCTGGAGTCGGTCTCCATCCCTCCCGGCAGTCAGGGTCTGACAGGCGCCCTCGAGCGTCGTCTTTGCGGGCATGCGCAAGGGAGGCTGGCGGCTGCTGCTGGGCAGCGTGGGCCCATGGTGGCCTCTGCTCCCCGGGCTCCCCCGCCGCACTGACAGCGCCCTACCTGTTGTACAGGTGCTCCCACACGTTCTGGGGCAGAATCACCACCAGGTCGTCGATGTAGTGGTACTTGTGGGGCGGGATGCCTGTGGAGGAAGGCACAGGGAGGGAGCGCTGGGGGCTCGGCCGGCCGCCCCCACACCCCGATCCTGGAGGAGGCCCCCTCACCTCCGTGGGCGCAGAGGAACGTGTGATTGGTGATGGGCCCAGGCTCGGCAAACGTGTTGAACTTGTTGAGCCATTCCCGAGACACGTAGAACCGCAGCAGGCTGGGCTCCCGCATGGCAGCCAGGGACACTACCTGCTGCCGTTCCCGCACAGCCTCCTCGCTGCTCTTCCTGCCGCAGGGCCGGGGCAGGGGTGCGGCAGGGTCGGTCCGGGGTGGTGTAGGGTGGGCAGAGCAGGGGTGGATAAGGGTAGAGCAGGGATGGTGTAGGGGTGGGGCAGGGACAAAGCAGGGGTAGGGTAGGGTTAGGGCAGGGGTGGAGCAGGTGTGGAGCAGGTGTGGGGCAGGGGTGGACAGGGGTGGGGCAGGGGAATTAGGAGCAGCTGTGTCTGGGCTCCCTGCCAGGGGTGTGTCCTCAGCCACCTACCACTGCCCTCCCCACCCCCTGAACCCCTCAGCAACCCGGCAGCCTCTCAGAGGCCCCACTGCCCTGGCCCGAGTGCCCACCTGGCCAGACCCTGGGGACAATGTCAAAGGGAGGCAGAAGCTTGTCCCTCTGCAGGCAGGAGAGCAGATTCCCACAGGATATGGGGACACATTTCCCTGTAGGGCCCTGACCCACCTGCCTACCTCCAGGCCGAGTTTTTGAACCTGACCTGCCAGCGGATGGCAAAGCCTGTCTGGGGAGAGGCCGCCTGGCCTATCTGACCGAGTGCTGGCCACGATCGCTCCATGGGAGCACCACGGAAGACCCAAACTCAACTTCTTGGGTTCCCCACTTTCCCCACGGCCAGAAGGCTCTTTCTTACAACCTGACACCCTCACTGCCTGGAGCCTAGAAGCTTCCAGGTTCCACCTCCCCCCAAAGGCACCCGTAGTAAAGCCCCAGAGCACAGGGGCTGGCCATCCCAGGCTCACGGGCCACCCATCTGTCCTTGAGCCGGACCCCGCCCCACTGTGACAGCTGCCAGGGGCCCCACCGATAGAAGAGCACGTAGGCCTCAGCGTTCTGCACCACCGTCTCGTGGACCTCGGTGACATACTGGTCGTCGAATTCGTACCACTGCCCGTTGATCACGTTCTGGCAGTAGGCGATGTAGTGGCCACCTGTGGCGGGAGGGGCAGGCTGGTCACAGACACCCCGTGGGACAGGGACAGGGGTGACGCGGGGAGGGGAGGGGGGCCGACTCACTGCCTGCTGTGCCATGGTGGCAGATGACCGAGAGGAGGTCGTAGGTTGTGATCTGGGACTTGCACTCCTTAGCAAGGAACGGACGCAGGTCAAGTCCCTCGAGGGGGAAGGCGACGTGACTGCTGATTTTGAACGAGTACATGACCTCGTGCCGAAAGCGCTTCAGGTGGATGCACAGGATCTGGGGGACAGGGAGGAGGCGGCGGTCATTCTGGGCAAGGATGCCTGGGGCCCTGTGACCAGGTGGGGGCTTGGGGCCGGGCTCTGGGACACCCACTGGCCACTGTTTGACCCACTTAGGGCTCGCCCTCCAGGCGAACACAAGAAACCGAACGCCAAGAGCCTTCCAGAGGCCCAGGCTGGCTGAGGGCTCCCGCCCACTGAGCACCTGGACACACGGAAGAGCTCCACGTGGGAGCCGAGTTGGCCCGTGGCCTGTCCCCTGACCGAGGCGCACAAGACGGCAGGGCCACGGGGACAGTGCGGGCGGCCGACACAGGCAGTCCCCGAGGGCGGCGCTGGTCCGTGCACGAAGCTGACTGTCAGAACCCTGACCACAGTTCTTTTCCACGCAGGCTTCCAGAACCTGCCTCCCGGGCCATACTCCTCTGTGCTCTGGCCACACGGCACTTCCTGGGTTTGGCCAAGCCCGTTCCTGCCTCCACGCTCTGCCCACCTGCTCCTTTCCGGCTCTCCCTCTACAAAGCTGACGCCAGCCCCTGTGCTCAGGGCTCACGCAGACCCTCTTCCTCAGAAAGGCCTTCCCCAGCGCAGATAGCGTGGTGGCCACGTCTCTCCCCACACACCAGCCTTCCTCCAAGTGGCACCCTCTGCCCCACACCTGCAGAGCATGAGGGAGCTGACAGAGGGTCCCAGCAGGTCTCTCGGACAAAGCAGCAGACACCGCCCTGTCCCAGGCCTCCTCAGCTCAGGCTCCCTGGGATACAGGGTGACCCACCATGCCACCGCACATTAGTCAGCAGCAGAGAGAGCAGGCGGGAGGCTTCTCCACTCACCTCAGGCAGCCGCAAGACTTTACAGTACTTTACCCCGTTCCGCAACCTGGCAGGGAGGAACGGGGAGAAGCGTTGAGTGTCCCGGTGTGGGGACAGAGGGGCCCAGCGAGCACCCTCCCCCCACGGTCACCTCTGTGAGATCTGGATCAAACTCTCTGAAGGAACCGGGGAAGCACGTGGGACACAGACCCAGGGGTCAGAACGGGAATTTGGGGAGAAATCCCAGAGCACACACACTTACTTTTTACACCGTTCACAGCTATACATGTTGTCACCTAGGGCAGAAAATGCAGACAACGGTGAGTGGGGACAGGACATGGGAGCCGAGGTGGACATAACAATCTATACTTACGAGACACAAACCGATATGCCGCCTGCCAAGAGACTCGCTTCAGCTCTAAGGGCACATGGGCTGAGAGAGAGGGATGGAAGGAGACATTCCCAGCAGACGGAAACCAACAGAGCAGAGGTGGGTCTACCGACATCACATACAACAGATTTTCCATCAAAATCGGTCAAAGAGACAAAGAGGGTCACTGTACAGTGGCAAAGGGTGATATGCAGCCAACGCCACAGCACCTAGATATTTCAAAAGAACATTAACCCAACTGAAGGGAGAAAGAGTCATCAGGACAATAATACTTGACACTTTAATACCCTACTTTCAACACTGGGCAGATCATCCAGGCAGAAAATGAGTAAGGGAACTAGACCTGAATGACTACAGGCCAAAAAGACCTAACAGACATATACAGAATATTCCATCCAACGGCACCGGAATACACATTCTCAAGTGCCCACAGAACATTCTCCAGGACAGCTCCAGGAGCTAGGCCACAAAGCAAGCCTTAATGAATTTGGGAAGACGAGTGTATTTCCAACCGCAACGGTATAGAACTAGAAACAATGAGCAGGAAGAGAACTAAAAAATTCACAACACACACGTCAACAACCGACGAGTCGAAGAAAAAAATCAAAAGGGAACTCAGGAAGTATCTCAAGACAAATGACAATGAAACCACAATGTACTAGCATATACGGGATGCAGCAAAAGCAGTTGTAAGAGGGAATTTCATAGCAATAAATTACATTAAGAAAAAAGATCTCAAATGAACAACCAGACTACACCTCACTGAATTAGAAAATGAAAGACAAACTCAGCACCAACGTGGCAGGAGGCAGGAAATAAGAGCAATTAGAGCAGACATAAATGAAAGTGAGATGAAGAAAAGAACAGGAAAAAAAAAATCAGTGAAACTAAGAGTTGATTTTCAGAAAAGATAAAGTTGAAAAAACTTTTAGCTAGGTTAGCAGAGAGAGAAAGAGAGAAGACAAGTAAATTGTAAATGGAAGAGGACTCTTGGAACTGATGCCACAGAAACACAAAGGATCATAAAAGGCACGACAGAGTGAACTGTACACGAACAAGCCGGACAGCCTAGAAGAAATGGGGACATCCCTAGAAACATACAACCTGCCAAGGCTGAATCATGAAGACAGAAAAGATCTGAATCAACCAATTTGAGGAAGGAGATGGAAACAGTATAAAAAACAAACAAACATAAAACCTCCCAATAAACAAAAGTCCAGGACCAGATGGTTTTGCTGGTGAATTTTATCAAACATTTAAAAAAGAATTAACACTAATCCTTCTCAAACATTTCCCAAAAACTGAGGGGGGGGCACTCTCAAACTCACTTTAGGAGGCCAGCAGCACTCTGATATCATAGTGAGATAAGCACATGATAAGAGAAGAAAACTACCGGCTGATATCCCTGATGAATATAGGCGGAAAACTTCTCAGTAATATTCTAGCAAACCAAACTCAACATTGTATTAAAAGGATCACACACCGTGTTTAAATGGAATTTGAATGTGGAAGGTAGGTATGGTTTATCATACACAAATCAATACACACGATTCTCTACATTCATTGAATAAAGGATAAAAATCAAATGATCCTCTCAACAGAGACAGAAAAATCACTTGACAGATTTCAACACCCTTTCACGGTAAGAGCTCAACAAATTGAGTGTAGAGGGAACATACCTCAACATAACAGAGGCCATCTAAGACAAGTCCACAGCTAATATCATCCTCAATGGTGAAAAGCTAGAAGTTTTTCCCCTGAAATCGGGCACAACAGAAGGGTGCTGCCTCTTGCCACGCCGACTCAACCCAGTATTAGAAGTCTTACCCAGAGCAATTAGACAAGAAAAAGAAATAAAAGAAATCCGAATAGGAAAAGAGAAGGTAGGAATCCTAGAGATTCCACAAAAAAACCTGTTAGGACGAATACGTGACAGAAAATACAGCCCAAGGTTCCTGGCTCAGAGCTTCTAAAGTCCTTGTACTTGCCTAAGTACTAAGAGCACTGGGAGCATCATTTGTTCTGGCATTTGCTCTCTGACCCTGCTTCCTGCCACAGGATTCCTAAGTCCCTTGGAATTTCCTAGGTGATGATGGCAACTTTTGTTCTAATGAGGTGACTCTGGGGCACCTGGGTGGCTCAGTCAGTTAAGCCTCTGACTCTTGGTTTCGGCTCAGGTCATGATCTTAGGGTCGTGAGATCGAGCCCTGCATCAGGCTCTGTGCTTAGTTAGCATGGAGTCTGCTTGAGATTCTCTTCCTCTCCCTGTCTGTCCCCCCTGCTCACACGTGTACTCACTCTCTCTCCCTCCAACATAAAATAAATAAATAAATAAAATCTTAAAAAAAATAAATAACAAGATGACTCTGGACGGTTCCAGAATCAGGGCTGGTCACCAGAAAGACCAAGCCATGATTAGAAGTTGGGAATTTTCAGCCACACTGGTGTTCTACAGAGAGGAGTTCATAACTGATCGCGCGTACGCAATGAAGCCTCCATAAAATCCCAATGGCGTGGGGTTGGGAGAACTTCGGAGCTGGTGGATGCAGGGAGACCAAGGGAAAGTAGGAGTTCAGAGGTTGTGGAAACTCCACGCCACTTCCCACATTCCCTGCCCTGTGCATCTCTTCCACCTGGCTGTTCCTGAGCTACAGCCTTTTACAATAAACCAGTCACCTAGTAAGCAAGGGCTCTAGCAAATTTATCCAACCCAAGAAGGAGGGGTTGGAACCTTTGATCTATAGCCGGTCAGTCAGAAGCACAGATGACAAGTGGGACTTGTGACGGGCTCTTGGGGAGGGGAAGTCTTGTAGGACTGAGTCCTTGACCTGTGGGATCTAATGCTGTCTCCAGGTAGCAGTACCACAACTGAGTTGAATTCTCAGTACCCAGCAGGTGTCACGTAACTGCCTGGTATGGGAAAACCACCATGCATCTGGCATCAGGAGTCCCGGTGATGGGACAAGGACAGAGCTGTTCCTACATAAAGACCAAATTAAGTGAGAAGATACCCCGCATTCATGGGTGAGAACAACAAATACTGTCCACCCAAAGCCATCTACAGAGTCAATGTAATCCCTGCCAGAAGTCCAGTGACACTGTCCCCAGAAGTAGAAAACAACCCTAAAATTCATACGAACTACAAAAGATCCCAAACGGCCAAAACAACACTGAGCAAGAACAGAGCTGGAGGCATCACATTTCCCGGCTGCAAACTACGCTACAAAACGACAGTCATCAGCACAGTATGGTACTGGCAAAGCAACAGACACACAGACCAAGGAACAGAATTGAGAGCCCAGAAGTAAACCCAGGAGTCTCTATGGGCAACCGCTATCTGACAAGGGAGCCAAGAATATTCAACGGGGGGAAAAGAGAGTCATTCAGTAAACGGTGTTGAGAACACTGGATATTCACATGCAGAGGAATGAAACCGGACCCTTGTCTCACACACTCACAACCATTACCCTGAAATGGATTAAAGGCTTAAATAGAAGACCCAAAACCATACTAGTCTAGAAGAAAACATAGGAAAATGCTCTTTGACATTGGTCTTGGCAATGGAGTTGTGGATAGAACACCAAAAGCAACAAGACCAAAAACAAACCAGTGGGACCACATCAAGCTAAAAAGTTCTAAACAAAAGAAACAATTTGCAAAATAAAGCAGCAACCTACAGAACAGGAGAAAATATTGAGAAACCATGTGTCAGATAAAGGGTTAATGTTCAGAATATGTAACGAATTCATTCAAATCAAGAGCAAAATAAACAAAAAACCCCCAGATAATCCATTCAAAAAGTGGCAGAGGACCTGGAGAGACATTTTCCCAAAGACAAACAGATGGCCAACAGGTACATAAAAAGATGCTCAACGTAACTCATCATCAGGGAAATGCAAATCGAAACTGACGAAATACTACCCCACACCTGTTTTAGAACAGCTATAATCAAAAAGATTTTTTTTAAAATGAGATAACAGGTGTTGGCAAGGATGTGGAGAACAGGGAACGTGTGCACTACTAGTGGGAATGAAAAATGGCACAGCCATCATGGAACACAGTGTGGAGGTTCCTCAAAAAATTAAAAATAGGGGGCGCCTGGGTGGCTCAGTGGGTTAAGCATCTGCCTTTGGCTCAGGTCATGATCCCAAGGTCCTGAGATCCAGCCCCGCATCGGGCTCGCTGCCCAGCAAGAAGCCTGTTTCTCCCTCTCCCACTCCCACTGCTTGAGTTCCTTCACTCACTCTTTCTCTCTGTCAAATAAATAAATAAAATCTAAAAAAAAGAAAATGAAAAATAGGACGGTCGCAGGCTCCAGCAATCCCACTGCTGGGTATGTATCCCAAGATGAAATCAGTCTAGAAGAGACAGGTGCACAGCCATGCTGGTTGCAGCAATGTTCACAATAGCCAAAAGGCAGACGCAACCCATGTGTCCACTGAGAGATGAACGGATAGATAACACGTGGTCTATCAGTGGAATATGACGCAGCTTTAAAAAAGAAGGAGAGTGCTGCCTGGGTGGCTCAGTCGGTTAAGCATCTGCCTTCATCTCAGGTCATGATCCCAGGGTCCTGGGATCGAATCCCATATGGGTTCCCTGCTCAGTGGGGAGCCCGCTTCTCCTTCTCCCTCTGCCTGCTGCTCCCCCTGCTTGTCAAATAAATAAATAAATTTTAAAAAGAAGAAGTAGTAGTAGTAGTAGTGGAAGAATTAGTAGTAGTAGTAGTAGTAATAGTAGTAGTAGAAGTAGGAGAAGGAGGAGATTCTTGGCATCTGGGTGGCTCAGTCGGTTAAGCATCTACCTTCGACTCAGGTCATGATCCCAGAGTCTCAGGATCAAGCCCCACATCGGGCTCCCTGCTCAGAGGGGAGTCTGCTTGTCCCTCTCCCTTTGCTCCTCTCCCCACTTGTGCTCTCTCTCTCTTGCTCATTCACTCTTTCTGTCAAATAAATAAATAAAATCTTTTAAAAAAGGAAGGAGATCCTGACACCTGCTACAACACGGATGAACCCAGAGGATGTCACGTTGAGTGAAATAGGCCAGTCACAAAAAGACAAACACCATATGAGCTGACTTAGATGAGGTCCTTAGAGCTGTCAAGTTCAGAGACAGGAAGTACAAGGATGGGCACCAGCGGCTGGGGGAGGGGAGAACAGAGAGTTGCTGTCTTGGGGTAGAGAGTTTCCATTTTGCAGAATGAGAGTTCTGGAGAGGGACTGCACTACAGCGTGAACATAGTCAACGCTACTGAACTTTACACCTCAAAATGGTTAAGATGGTGCATTTTAGGTCATGTATGTTTTACCAAATTAATTTTAATTTTTAGAAGAGCTTTCCCAAAGGTTTGTTAAGATGCCCCACACGACAGAAAAATGGGAAAAGGACAGGATTGGGAAATTTCAAAATAGGAAATAAAAAATAGTCAAAACACTTACGAAAACTGCCCCAAACTATCGGTAACCGAGGAAATGCAAAATTAAAGCACGTATGATTTCTGTCCAACAAACTGGTAAGCAGAAGCAAGAAGGGCAAAGCCCTAAGAGCGCTCCAGGCAGTGGGGCTGGGAGGACACGCAGGCCCAGGCCCAGCCTGACTGATGGAGAATGTGGGGAGGGTGGAGGTATGTGGGAAACTGATGGAGGATGTGGGGAGGGTGGGGGTATGTGGGAAACTGATGGAGCATGTGGGGAGGGGGGGGGTATGTGGGAAACTGATGGAGACGAGGGGAGGGTGGGGGTATGTGGGAAACTGATGGAGATGTGGGGAGGGTGGGGGTATGTGGGAAACTGATGGAGACGTGGGGAGGGTGGGGGTATGTGGGAAGGCAGAGGCGGGTAACATTGACAGCGAGTTCCAGAAACCAGCTGCAAGCTCACCCCGCAACCCCCTCCCCAGCCAAGCCCACTCCACTCACCCTTCAGCTCATCAGCAGCAAAGAAAGCAGCAAGGCAGTCTTCCAGGGTGATGACCGGCCCCCAAAACCAGCTTGGGGTACAGGATACCACAAACCTAGGGAGACAGAAGCGGGGTGGTGGGGTGATGCCAGGGCCCGGGCAAGACTAAGACCTGGTCACTTCGGGCCCAGAGAGGCATCTTGGCCAGGTAGGTGGGATGGACACCTGGGACCAGCAGCCCAGTGTCCCCGGGAGAGTGGCCCCACCCCTCCCCGAGCCTCGTCTTCCCCTCTGTGAAGGGACCCCGGTCCCACTGGCCCGTCCTCCAGGTAGAGGGGGTTCTGACATCGTGGCATGCAATGAGGGCTCCGGAAAGGTGCCCACTGCTCTCCCCACCAGGCCAGGACTGCTCTCTAGCTGCCGCCTGGTGACTCCCCTGTCGTTTCCTGCCTTCAGACCCGACCCAGGCCATCCCAGGGTGGCTGAGGAAGTCCCCACCACCCCCTCAGGAAACATCTGCACATCCAGCTGTGGGTGCCCTTCCAAATGCCTGAACTTTGCTGTTCACGGTCTGTTGCCTGCCAGGTCCAGGGCAGTCTCGGGTCTGCCGAAGGCGGGAAGGCGGGAAGACAGGTGTACCTCCGGATATACTCCACGATGAAGGCGAGCCAGCCCTGGGCGGCATAGCTGTCCCCGCAGGCACCCGGCTTGGCCGGCACGTTCTGGTAGATGGCTGAGTGCAGCTTGGCCAGGTCCTCCTTGCCAGGAATGGGCAATGACAGGTCCTGGAACGTCTCCACTGTGGTGGAGACCTGTGGGGTTGAAGGTCAGCCTGGGTTTCCACCTTCCAGGGCTCCGCCCTGCCCAGACCAAGCAGAATCTGCAGCCTGAACCCCAGCCACCCGATGGCAGGTGGAGGACAGAGGGTCTGCTCCCCGTCCCCTGGACCCCGGCACCAGGCAACCAGAGCCCTCCCCCTTCCAGAAAGGCAGGGGCCATCAGATGGAGAAGCCACTCCCCCGCCCTCACCCCGAGGGGGGACCACCAGGCCCCTGAAGGCTGGGCCCTGGCTCCCCACTGCCAGGGCTCACCCGGTCACAGGTGAGACACTGCACGAGGCTGAGGATGGAGCCGTTGAAGATGTCGGAGATGACGCTGCGGTAGGGCTGCTCCTTCCGCCTGCGGCTGCCGGCGCTCAGCACCTGGGCTGGGGGCACAGCACGGGACTAGGCCCAGCCCCACCGGCCTGTCTGGGGCAAGGGGTGGCACTGGGGCTTGCTGGGCCGGGACTCGGGGTCCTATGTGCGTCACGTGGTGGGGTATGCAGCTCCCTCCCAGGGCCTCGGTCATGTCAGTAAGAGGGGCAACCCCGCACCCCTATGGTGTCAGAGGAGGGCTGGGAGGCGCCGCTGCTCAGATGACCCGCATTCCCAGCCCCAGCTGCACGTGTGGGTGCCCCACAGACCCCCTCCCTGCCCAGTCCTGCCAACCTTTCTTGAGCACGTACGAGGGCCCCATCCTCACGGGGCTTGAGCGGGGAGGGCTGCCGGCCAGCTTGGAGTGGCCCTCATGGTGGTGCACAGGGCTGCAGGGGCGGGACGAGCTGCGCATGTGGGCCTCATTGTCTGGCTCTGAGGGCAGAGAGGGGACTGCTGCTGGGCTGCGGGGGGAGGCACGTCGGCTCCACAACATGGCCAGGAAGACGACCCACTGGCACCTCCCAGGGCCCAAGGCCCACTGTGTGTCTTCTGCCCTCTGCCTACCCCGGCCCCCAACCCAACCTGCAGGACACATGTCCTCCAGTGTCATGGGGGTGCGGGGCGGCCGGGCAGGCTGAGCCACACCCCGGTTCGGAACGGGTCCGGCCTGCTACAGGCGTGCGGGGTCTGTCTGGCACCTGGGGTCCGGAAGGGGCTGGAGGAGCCCGGCGACAGTGGCTGGGCCTCCGAGGGCTGGTCCTCAAGGGCGGCCATGGCCGTGTCCACGTCGGCGTCCTCGTCCACCTGCTCAGAGCTGGTGCGCTGCTGGCCCCAGGAGAACTTGCGGTCCTTCATGCGCTCCTTCTCGGAGATGGCGCGGCCCGCCTCGTCGGGGATCAGCAGCTCCGCCTCAGCCTGCGAGCTGGCCCCGCCTCGAACCTGCCCGTCGCCCTCACCCCGGTCACTGCTCGAGTCGCAGGACAGGAACTCATCCTCTGATGGGCTTCGGTCACCCTCCCGCTTCTCATCCGTATCGCTCGAGTCTGAGTCCTGTGCCTCGGCCAGCACCGCTGTGGCTGCCACCTCCGGTTCCTTGAGCTCCTCGTGGAGCTGGTCCATCAGGCAGCGCAGGAACTCCTGGGTGTCCTGGAAGCAGCGGCTGCGTCAACAGGGCTTTCCAGGGTGGAGGACCTTGCTGCCAGCGCCCCGCTGCTTCTGGGGGTGGGGACAGCAGCGGATCCATCTCGCAGGCCCTCACAACGCCCCCTAGAGACCTGTCGAGCGGCCCTAACAGCCTCTGTGGTGGTTCCATCCCGTCCCCGTACTAAGGTGGACACGGCAGCCCCTGAGCCTCCCCTCCCGCCACACAGCTGCGAGGTGGCAGAGCCGCGACCCCCGCCCCCCACCAGGTCCGTGTGACGCCCCAGCTCCTGCTCCTAAGCACCCTGCTGCCAGCTCAGTGCGGGAGAGCGGAGGGGTTGTGTTCAGCCTCAAGAGTCACCTCGCTCCCTACGGAGGGGACTCCGGGGATGGGCAGGGAGCCTGTGGAAGCAGGAAGGGGCCCCCTAAGACGCAGGTGCGCGTGAGGGCTCAGCTGAGTTTTGTGGGGGTGATGCCAGTCGCCTGCACCCTCCAGCCTTCCTCGGGCCCTCCCTGCCCTCCCCATCCTCCCACCAGTCCCCGCAGGCCCACCCCTTCCCTTGCCACTGCGGCCTGTGGTACGGGCACAGGCTTCGGAGGCAGGATGGCACCCTCCCAGAGATGTGGGCACGACGTGTCTAAGCCGCCACTTCAGGCTGGCTGGGCGTCGAGTCACAGCTTTGATTCTGGCCTCTGACCAGGTCACCAAACTGATCAGAGAGCCTGGGCAGCGAGGCTTCCAACACCTGGCCACGGGGCCCAGCCGAGTGCCGTACCCCCAGGTGCTGCAGGAGGCCAGAACACAGTGGTGGCAGCTGGTCTCCAACAGCCGGGGGGGCCGGTTGCCATGCTGGGCCACGGGGTTCAATGACATGCCCCTCATGGTGCCCGGCATCAGCAGCAGTGCCCCCAACCCCCACCTGGCCAACGCGGTGCTAAGCCTCCCCAGCCCTCCCTCATGGGCATGGAGAGAAGGGCCTCTTCCTCTCCGTTCTGGGAGAGGGAAGGGAGGGCTCTGGGTGGATTTCCTCAGCAAAGTGTTGAACTTGAAGATGAGAGTAATTAACCACTAGCTTATCCTGCATGAGGGAGCAGAGAGGATTCGTGGGTCCTGTGTCAGAGGCCTAGAAGTTTCTTTTAAGAAACAGGCCCCAATACACCATCTACTTTTCTCTCTGGTTCTTCCTTTTACCACAGGTAATGTGTTTGTTGCTAAAATCTGTGGTCAGTCCGCGGTCATTAACAGAGGCCCACAGCCGCGCCCATGTTTCAGACTCAGGAATGTTCCCTGTGTTACATCTAAGAACCAGAGACAAGGATGCTTCTGGAGTCCAGGTGGGTGTTCGGCAGCAGCCCTGCTCCATAGGGCCCTCACAGAGAGCCTGGGCAATGGTTCAGCTCTGCCTGAGTCCTGCCCTGCCGCTCTGTGCTGTGTGACCCAAGCGAGGTGTAGAACCTCTTTGAGCCTTAGCCCCTTACCTCTAACATGGGGGTGACGACAGAGCCCACCGCAGAGGGCTCTGTGAGGATAAACAGAGCTGTCCTTGTGGGGCGGGGAGGGACAACTTAATAAACAGTGGATGGTGAACCGTGATCATGGGGGGCATTATCACTGCCCGGAAAAAGCGGCGTTCGGGCAGCACTGGACTTCTCACTCGGGCGTTCATCTAATCGACGGTGTGAGCCCAGGAACACCCAGCAACCCTCGGCCCGGGAAGGGATGGCAGGGAGGGTGCTGGGGGTCGAGGGAGAGGGTGGAAGGCATCCCTCACCTGACCACGGCTCTGTTCCTGGCCCCCATGTTCGGGACACAGGAACGGCCGCCCAGACAGGTCCAGCTCTTCCCACAAGCCCAGCAGTGAAACCCCAGGTTGTGTGGCAGTCTGAGGCAGGGGACTGGACCCCGTGAACGAGCCGCTCGGCCTGGGACTGGGGCATACATGGGGTTCTACTCCGCTTCGTTGTGGCCCATGAGTTTAGACGACAGAAAGTATCACTGATTTCCAAAGGGTTCCCTAGACTTACAAAAACTTGTAATCAAATGTTTCCTTTAATAAAAGTTAAATTCTGCCTGACTCTGCAGTCAGACCGCCCGAGGTCAAATCTCCAGCCATGTGGCCGGGCAAATGACTTCTTAAACGGGAGGCTACTGTGTCCTCACACACACGAAGGGCTCAGGTAGTGAGGGGACCCGCCCCGTCACCCCGAGCTGCACTGCTATTTCCCATGCCGGTCTCGGCTTTGGAGCCAGGCCTGCTAACAGCCCCAGGTGTCCCCCGCGCAGCTCTGATGGCCTACCTGCTGGGCATAGCCTCGGAACATCGGGTTGACTAACTTGATCCCGTGAGACAGGCCAGTGGGAACCACGTAGCTTGGGCTGTAGGAAGACCAGACCCGTTAGAGCAGGTGGCCCGCTCGGAGAGTCCTAATCCCATCAGGGTTGCTAAGGCAGGTGGCCTGGGGCGATGGATCAGACCCAGTGAGGGGAGGAGCTGACTCAGCCTGGAGGCCCTGCGGGCTTGCACATCCTGGAGTCACAAAGTGCCAGCTACCAGGCAAAGATTCTTGATTGGTTTGGCCTCATTTCCTCTGGGTCTGGGACAAGCCTGCTTGAAAACTGTTTCCTTTCTGAAATACTCTTTGTGGTTTTTTCCTAATTTCAAAAGCATTACGTGTTCATTACTGAAAAGTCTAAAATTTCAGAAAAGCCCAGCAGAGAAACATCACCGCTAATAGCACCACCCAGAGATAACTGCCATCAACATTTCCAGACTCTTCCAGGAAAACAGACACACACAGAAAACAAACCTGGCAGAATTCTGGCAGAACGGGAGTTATACTGCATCACACTGTTTTATAATCTGCTTTTACATTCGGCACATTTCTATGAACTCATTGTAAATTATTCCCAATTTTCCTGAGGAAACAGGTCTAACCCAAACTTCCGGTCTGCAAATTCATTTCACACTGAGCTAAGCCCCTTCGCGGTCGTCACCAGCCACTGCCTGTGAGAGTCTCTCCCGCACGCATGGTGGCAGGTGGGACTGGGAATAGTCATGGCACGTGTCTGGGCCTCGGCGCACACATCAGGGAAGTGGCTACAGGTTCCGGGCAATGCCACTTTCAAATTCAAGCTCCTTGAGCAAGACACATAAACTCTCTCCAAGCCTCAGTTTCCCCAATTTGTAAAACGAGGTTGCCGCACGGGTCACCCAGGTGAAGTGTGACAAGCACGCAGTGAGGGGCTGAAGGCACAGGGAGTGCTTGGTTGAGGGGCAGAGAGAAAAATCCCCGGCCCCGGGCGCCTGCCCAAGGTCAGGGGCTCAGTCACTCACCGTCTCCTGTGCCAGACCTCAGAGACCAGCTTCTGGTAACTTTTGCACAGCGCTGGCTTCTTGTCTGTGCGCACCAGGCCTCCGCACTCCAAGAAGAACTGGGTCAGTGGAGGGCTAGGGACAGGGAGAGAGGCAGCGTGTGTGGCATTGGTTAGAAAGAGCTGGTGAGAGAAGCAAGAGCCTATGGTGGGGGAGACGGGGGGACGGGATGGCATGCTGCTGCCCTTGAGCCAGAAAGGCCTGCAGATAACCTGTCACAGGGTGAATTGGGTCTCCCCAAATTCCCACGTTGGAGACCTCAAAAGGTGACTGTATTTGGACTCATAATTAGGTTCAGAGGAGGTCCTCAGGGTGGGCTCTGGTCCTATATGACTGCGTCCTTCTACCAGGAGGAGATGTGGACACAAACGCGCCCAGAGGGAGGATGACGTGAAGACACAGGGAGAAGGCAGCCATCTAGCAGTCAAGGAGAAGCCTCAAAATCAACGCGCCCCTCCCCCTGCCCCCGCCCGCACCTTGACCTCAGACTTGTAGCCTCCAGAACTGAGAGAGAATAAGTTTCTGTTGTTTCGAGCACCCTGCCTGCCATGCTTTGTTTCGGCCACCCCGAGATGCCAAAACAGCCCCCATCCCTCTCCCAGGGCTGCAGAGGTGCCAGCTTCAGGGGCCGTGTGCTCAGGGGCCAGCTGCTGCCTGACAGAGAGAGAGGGTCCAGCGCCTGTCCCTGACCCTAGCCCACTCTGTGGAAACCTTCCCCAACCTGAAGGCATCTTTCCTTTTCCTCAAGTCAACTTATCTCATTACTTGAGAAATATATATTCATTGTAAAAACACTAGAACGTCTAGAGATGGGCAAACAGTAAGGAACTTTAATCCTACCTTGTGACGACAGCTACTCGGGAAGTTTCTAGGCGTGTATCCTTGTGGACGTTCCTATGCACACATCCCCTCCCTCCCTCACATAGGCAGGCACCAAATCCCTCCCAGGCAGGACAACTGTGTACCAGGCACAGGAAATGCCCTGGCCTCACGGAGTTAATAGCCTATCCTAGGCAGAAATTAGGAAGTTGGGGGCACCTGCCTTCGGCTCAGGTCACGATCCCAGGGTCCAGGGTTCGAGCCCCACATTGGGCTCCCTGCTTAGTGGGAAGCCTGCTTCTCCCTCTCCCACTCCCCCTGCTTGTGTTCCTTTTCTCACTGTGTCTCTCTCAACCAAATAAATAAAATCTTAAAAAAAATTAGGGATATCTCCCCCAAATGGGATTGCACCACACAAAGCTTCATAACCTCCTTTTCCCCATGGCCACATTCTGACCCCTTACGTTCAGTAAATACTGTCCTGTATCCATTGTAAAGCTGGCCTGTAAATGGGGACCACTGGGGCACCTGGGGGGCTCAGTAGGCTAAGCATCTGCATTAAGGTTCAGGTCATGATCCTGGGGTCCTGGAATGGAGCCCCACATCGGGCTCCCTGCTCAGCAGGGAGGCTGTTTCTCCCTCTCCCTGTGCCTCTCCCCATTCCTGTGCCTCTCCCCACTGCTCACATCCTCCCCCCCTGCCCCGCACATAAATAAATAAATAAATAAATAAAATAAATCTTTACAAACACGTGGACCATCAAACCGTCCCGTGAACACAGGATAGGGACACCCCCCCCAGGCAACGTGCTCCACACCTCAGCCGACCTTCCTAGAACTAATTCGGACAGGAGGGACTGCTGGGCCGAAGGCCATGTGTGTTTTTACGGTTTTTAACGTGGATCCGTACACACACATCTGGGGGTAACATACACGACACAGCCCAGGGGCTGCGGACACCTTCAGGGCACCCAGCGACAGCTCCAGGCCCCCCAGCCCCCGGGCGAGGGCACCACCTACCAGTTGGACAAGGCCTGCAAGGCGGCACTCATGTAGCACGAGTTCCCGAGGTTCTTCATGCCCGTGAGGCCTAGGAACCAGTCACACAGGGGAGGGAAGGTGAGGGCCCTGCCCCTCCCAGATGGGCTGCGGCATCGTCCAACCGGGGCGGGACATGGGGGGCTGGTGTCCCGCCCCAGGAATCTGCCAAGTACGTTCATGTGTTTCTGCTCACGAGAGCTGTGAGTCCCTGAGAGTTTCAGACAGACGGACCCTTCTGCTCTCTGCCCAACCCGGCCCAGCGTCCGCCCTGCACAGGTGAGGAAGCGGGGGGTGGAAGGGCCGGCCTGCGTGGGGTCACGGGGCTGAAGAGGGGGTTGAGGGCTGGCAGGCCGCTGGGACTCAGCCGGACAGCCGGCACTCCAAAGGGAGCCACTGCGCCGTCAGCCGTCGGGCCGTCGGTAGGGCTGCCCTCCCAGCCCACAGCTGAGTCCCCCCATGCCCCGCCCACAGCACCTCCCGTCCTGGGGCTGGGCTACCTCGAGGCTTCAGGTCGTCATCCTCGGACTCGGAGTCTCCTTCGTCGGCCACAGCAATAGGGACGGCTTTCAGAAGATGGGAGGTCAGGGGAGAGTCCTGCGAGGAAGACTCCGCGTGAGGAGCACGGGGAGGTGAGGCAGGAGGGGTGGGGGTCAGAGGCCCATGCGGCCCCCCGGGGGGAAAGGAAGCCCAGCCCCCAGCCGCGAGTCCACACCGAGTCAGCCCGTCTGAGCAGAGGACACCCCAGAGCCGGCACCTGCGGCCCCAGCCCGGGAACTTCTATTTTAGTTACAATAATGAAAAAATTATCTTATTTGTAACAGATCTGGAAAAAAAAATAGAAACAAAGAATAATGACAGACAATGTAACTTTCCTGAGACAATTCAAGATGTCCACGCATACCCTGCAGATTTTTAACTGTTGCTATGCACAGGCTCCCAAAACAAGCTACCGTCCCTATCCCATACGACAGTCTTTTGGGGTAAAAATCATAAACATCTTCCACGTTTGCAAACATCTTTCACAATCACGCAGGGAGCGCCTACGTGACAGTGACTGTGTCAGTGTGGGGGAGGCGGGCACACACAGACACACACACAGACACACGGGGTCCCCCGGGCTCTCACTGCAGCTGGCCGGCCCCAAGCAGCGCACTGACCCCAGCCCGAGGCTGCCCTCCATACGGGGGCCCACTGCCTTTCGGTGGGGCACAGGGACCGGTCAGCGCCTCGTTAGGTGGGTTTCCAGGCCTTTCCCAGAGAGCATGGCACTGCGGTGACTACTGGGGATACGTCTTAGAGCTGGGGCGGTGGGGGCCCTCCACAGGCCCCAGGTCAGGCTCCCACAAGTCCTTGCATACAGCCTCCCCACGGCCTGTGGCCTCCCAAAGGGAGGCCCTTCCCATGAGGGCCTCTGTCCTCAACCCTCCACGTGAGCCTTGGCCCAGAGCCGGGGCTCAGCAAGCATTTGCAGGCACTTGAGAACACTGCCCGGGGACAGGTGCCATCTGGGAACCACCCATCCCGGCTCCACCGACGCCTGGGTCACAGGGCCCTGCCCTCGACGTATGTCACTACCTCCAGCACGGACTCCACGGCACCCCCTTACCTGCTCCGAGAACCTGGGTGAGGGGCCTGCCGGCTGCACTGCCGGCCTCTGCTCCAGGAACACCTCCTTCTCGCAGGCGTAACACCACACCCGGAATGTGGTCAGGTTCACTGTCAGGTTATGATTTTTTGCCTAGAGGGCAAGATCCAAAACGAGGTTGAGGATACACTGGCCCAACAGGGGCCCCACGGCAGCTCGGGGCAACCTCGGTCAGGACAGAGGCCTGGGAGCTCAGAATCTGCTCGCCCCGCAGCTGGGGACACCCAGGGCTGCCACGGACCAGACACCTGCAAGGGCTGGAGGCTCGCACCGGCAGATCAGCTCGCGCTTCCTGCTGCCCTTAGTCCCATCTTACAGACACAGCCGTCGAAGCCCAGAGGGGGGCAGACAGAGCTGAGAGGCCGCAGAAGCAGGGGCTTGAATGCAGGGCTATCTGCCCACGGGGCCCATGCTCCCAGCCACAGCGCTCACCTGAGCATGAATGGTACTGTGGTCGGCAAAGGATTCTCCGCAGCCAACGTAAGGGCAGGAGACCTGCGGAGAGAGGGAGGGAAGGAACAAGGACAGGGGCTGGCCCTTTCCACCACCAGGACCCACAAGCGACTAAGGTCCTGTCACCCCGCAGGACAACAGCTTTATACACCCTGTGGTTCCAGCTGAATGGGACAGCTTACCGTGACAGCTGCCCTGGCCTCTGAGTAAGGGGGGGGGGGCAGGGTGCCCTGGGCTACTGGCCTCCTGCACGAAGCCCAGAGAGGGTCACAGTGAGATGGGAGCCAAACCGAGGCCTGGCTGCGTGGCGCCCAGACCCATCCCCTCACTCTAGTGCCTTCTTGACTTGGGCCTGGGTCCTGAGGCAACCAGGCCCCGTGTCCCCACCTGACGCTTCCAGCAGCGCCCACCAGAGACAGATGCTCCCAGCCTAGGGTCTAGACCAAGCTCCCCGCCCCCAACGGTGACAAAGATGGCTTACCTGGAGACAGGCCCACAGGTTCGGTCCAGCAACACCACACGACTGACAGACTCCCTGTGCGAGGGGAAGAGCCGAGCGTTAGCAGCCCAGGGGGCCACTCCAGCCAGAGGCGCCGACGGCCGGACCCCAAAGCTCTCCACTGTAAGACTTTTGCCTCGGAAAGGCTTTCACCAGCCTGCCAATCGACACGTCCCTCCTCGCAGGGCACTTTACACTTCACACTTCACTGTCTGAATTTTGTTTCGTTATGTGCTGCAAACACATATTCCGTAAAATCACTTGAAACTTAAATCAGTGGAGCCGTTAATGTGCTCTTCAATCCTACCCTCCTCTCTTCCTTTGAAGACTGTGTAAGCCTTCCTCCCCACCCAGACCCTGGGATCCGTGAAAGAGGCATGGTCTGCTCGGTCTACCCCTGTGACTTCCCAGCGCCTAGCACAAACTGTGACATGGCTACGTCTGAGGTCCCCAGAAAACACCGAGGTTGTTGGTCTTCCGGGTGACAGAGCTTGTCCACCAGTATCTCCCCTTCTTGCTTTAGTAACAAAACACACAGATTTGGGCTGAGCACATGGCCAGCCAGCTGCAGACTGTTTCTCAGCCCCCCTGTGGTCACGGGGCTCAATTCTCATCAAAGAGATGACAGCAAAAGTGATACGTGCCGCTTTCGGGCTGTGCACCCCCCTAGCTCCTTCTCCTTCCCCTCGGCTGGAATGTAGATCCGAGGGCAGGAGCGCAGGCAAGCACCTTGGACTCAGAGATGAAAGTCATGTATTAGGAAAGGCAGGGCCGCCCTACCATCCTACCTAGCTCTAACGATTCTGTGAGAGAAAAGGAAATGTCTACCTCATTTAAGATACTGTTATTTCAGGGTCTCTTCGTTACAACTTAAAATGTGCCCTACATAAGCCTGTGTGCACATGTCTAGAACAGCAGCTCCCAGCCAAGCCTCCACAATGCCCAAGGGACCTCCGTCAGCTGAGGTGGATTCTGAGGGCCAGGTCTGACAGCAGTTACAACACGGGGCTCAGTCAGAGCGAAAGGGCTACCTGCCGAGGAGGACTGGGCTAAGTTGTCACACATGGCTCAGTTCGTGCAGCGCCTCCCTCGGACAGATGAGCAACTGGGGCTCAGAGGTCCCGCCGTGCTACGGAGCAGGCTTGGGACAGGGAAGCCAGGGAGCCAGGGCTGGAAAACAGGCCTCCCCTCCCACGCTCCCTCAGGAATGTCTCATTCTCACAAAGCCCAGTTTGTGGCCGTGTCTAAACTCAGAGCTCTGTGTCAGGCTGAGGTTAAGCAGGCTGGAACTGGGGTCCGCGGCCCGACAGGGACTCCCGCTGGGGGTGCTCCGGCCAGCCCTGGGAGCCACCAGCAGCTCCGGACCTTCCTGAATTTGTCATCTCTTTTGTGTTTTCCTGATTTCACAATTCACTTCCATCTTCTGGGGCTTCCTCTTGCTTTCAGTCATTGGGATGACAGAAGTGTCCCATGCTTTTAAGTAGGCTCTGAGCCCACGTGGGGCTGGAACACACAGCTCTGCCGTCCCGAGTCACATGATCCCGAGTCACGCGCTCTCCCGACTGAGCCGGAGGGGCGCCCAGGATGCTTGTTGTAACAGTGCAGACGACGCATACATGTTACACACAGTCTGAAGTAGAGGATTACCGTATAGTAAATCTATGTGCCAGAATAATCGGAAACACGTCCCTGCACATTTTCTGCTGATACAGAAGCATATGCATACACTTGGGGAGGGGGGTGTGGCTTTAAGAAAGATCAGATCATACTGTACGTGTTTCTCCGACACACGCTTCTGCCACCTTTTTAAGGTCATCGTCCCAAGTTTGGACACGGACATCACACCGTGTCCCCTGTAATGATCACACGGGCCCCGGGCCATGGGCGCAGCGCAACTGACCCTGGCCCCTCCTGATGAATGCGCAGAGCGCGCTGGCTTGTGTCTCCTTAACTGGTACTTACATCGCTGCTGGACAAATTCCCCCAAGGGGAGTGGCGGCCTTGAAGGGACAGGAATGCCAACCCAGCCCCACCACGCATGTGGTCTCCTTCCCTCCATCACTGTCAGCTCTGAGCCCTCCTGCCTGCGGTTTGCCTGGCAGACGAAAACGCTATCATCCCGCCCCCCTCAGCAATCACCCCACCGCTCGTGAGGTTAAGCATCTTCTTTGAGGAGTTTCTCGGCCATCCACATCTCCTACAACCCGCCTGACCTGTTCATAGCCCTCCCCCTTCTGGTGCTCTAAAACAATCGTTTCAGTTTGTAGGGCCCGGGATGCTCAGGGCAGGGTGGACAACATGCTCCCCGAAACACGGGCCCGAGACAGATGCACCTCCAAAAGGCTGCTGTGCCCCAGCCCGGATCTGCCCTCCTCGTTCACCAGTTTGATCAAGATGCCCCTCTTCCTGCCTCCTCTGGAGGAAACTCCCGTCGATCTGCCTCGTTTATTCCTCTGTGCAGAACCCGGGGTTAGTGCAAATGCACCACAGCCTCGCTCAGCCCCTCCTCCAGACCACAGGGAAGAGAAACTACTTCAGAAGAAGCCGCAGGTACTGAGAGCACTGGATCCCTCCCAAGGGCCCGGCTAAGCTCAGGCCAAAGGCCACCCAGGACTGCTGCTAATGGGGAGGCTGAGGGACCAGCATCAGGTACCCGGAAAGAAGAGCCGGGGGGCGCCTGAGTGGCTCAGTTGGTTAAGCCTCTGCCTTTGGCTCAGGTCATGATCTCAGGGTCCTGGGATCAAGCCCCACATCGGGCTCTCTGCTCAGCAGGGAGCTTCCTCCTCTCTCTCTCTGCCTGCCTCTCTACTTGTGATCTCTCTCTGTGTGTCAAATAAATAAATAAAATCTTAAAAAAAAAAAAAAAAGATTAAAAAAAAAGAAGAGCCGGACACGAGTCTGGGAATCTGACCCCAGACCCCACTCCCAGGAGTGCGCCTTCCGCACGCTTTGGCCCCTGCACCCAGCAGCACTCCCATGGGGCCACTCATCCCAGCATCACATTTGCCACATCAAAGAGCTGCGCCGCCACCCACAGACGTTGAGTCCTGCAGTCCATACAACGAGACACCATGCAAGGCCAGGGCCAAGAGCGAGAAAACTGTCTAGGTACCAGGGCTGAAAGAGCTCTGGGACAGGCTGTCTGGTGAACAGATCAAGTTACAACAGCATCTGCAGTAATGCTACCTTTTAGGGAACGCAGAGGAAAATGAAAAATAAGCATATTTGCATAAAGAAACTCTGAAAAGGTCCAGAAAAAACTCCTGTAAGTGGCGCCCTAAAGGGGGGAAGGGGAGGGTGAGCACAGAGGGTGGGAGGGGGACTTCTTGAGGTTGGTATTTTCATATTGTTTGATTTTGAACCACAGGAAAGTACTACACCGATTCAAAACATTTTTCCAGACAAAGACACATCCTCCCCACTCAGAGAGGCCCAGCATCTCTCACTGTGGGCCTCCCCAGGGCCCTCCTTGGGTCACATGTGTCAAAATCTCCGTGGGCTCCCAAAGCATGATCCACGCCCTGCCCTGGGAAGGCTCTGGGCACCCGCGCCAGCCTCTAATGCGCAGAGCATTAGCGGCTCCCAGATGGAATGAGCTAAGTACTAATTAATGGCCATTCGGATGCACCCCCCGGAAGGCCTCCCGAACAGACGCCAGCCCCTCCATTTACACGAAAGCCTAAGCAGAGACTGTCGGGAAGCCGGTTCTTCCACTGCCTTCGGAAACATCTGCATCTCAGGAATGCGGGGCCCCTGGGAGTGGCTGCCAGCCCTGGAAGGTCTGATGCTTTACCTTAGATTTGAACACCAAGTCCTCCTTGGTCACCTCCCCTATGGAGTCAAGGTGAGGGCAAAGGTCCCTGGAGTCCCCCATTCTGGCCTGGGCTCACCTATGAGAAAACGCAGGGAGACTGGGTTAACAGCAGCCGCTGTGGGAGGGAAGCATGGGCTACTGGCTCAGAGCACAACTTTGGTCTCGGGCCCTGGCTCTGCAGCAAATCAGCTGGTGACTCGGGGAAGCTACTTAACTGCTCTGAGCCTCACTGGCCTTCTCTGAGAACTGGGCATGACGGTAGTATCGACCCCAGTGGGTTGCTCAAGGACTCACAAATGGGCATGTGTAAAACTGGTAAATCTTGAGTAAGCCCTGTGGGGTGTGCCGCCCTCCGCTCTACCGGCTGGGACACCGTCCGGCAGATACGCCAAAGATGTGGTACCGCTGCGGGAAGCTGCGTCACATTTGTGGCAACGTCCTGTGAGTTACAATTATTTCCAAAGAAAATGTCAAAAAAGAAATACCTGGACCCACCTCAGCCGCCCAGAATGTAGCAGAGACAGCAGCAGGAGTCCCGACTACTGATTCTAGCTCCAAACTACTGCCAAAAAAGTCCAAACCAACCAGAGATGACGTGGGGCCCAGGTGGCTGGATCAACAGCAGAGGCTGCGTGTCCTGCCGAGGGAGGCGGACCCCCAGTTCTCCCAGAAGGCCCCAGCCAGGGCTGGATGAGCCCAGGCTCCCAGCCACAGCTGCTGTTCCGGGCGGCTGCTAAGGTTCCAGGTAACACCCGAAGTGGTCTCCGGGCATTATTACTTCACTGCAAACTGCCCCAGCCGTCTCCCAGGCAGCTGTGATTAAGCCCCATTTTACAGATTAGGAAACAGAGGTTCCTCCTTCTCTTGGGTCTCACAGAAAGGAGTGCGAGAGCCAAGGCTGATGCCCAAGCTGGTCGGACCCGCGAGGCCCCGCCTGTGGTCGCTCTCTTTCCACCTTGGGAAAGTGCAAACACACGCAGAAGCAGACAGAACTGCGTGGCTCACTCCCACGGACCATCTCCTGGCTTCACCCAACCTCCCTCTTCCTTTTGGCAGCAGAGCCCACATACCATATCATTTCATCTCAGCATGTTCTTCTAGAAGATAAGGACTTAAAAAAAGAAAAAAAGACATAACCACAATTCCCTTATTTCACCTAAAAGACTTCCCTCCTGGGTCCAGGTTTCAGGCCCACACCCTCCCCCAGACAGGGAGGCTACGGGCCTACCTCTGTGTAGAGCGCCACCCCCAGGAAGCAGCTGACATCCGCATTCTCCGTGGACAGCCGGCAGTGGTGGGCGGCGCCTGCTGGGGTGAGCGTGGGCCTCCAGCAGGGAACCTGGAGTGGGGAACAAACCAGTGGACTTCATGCAGCTCTGTTATTTCAAAATCACTCTTTGCACTGACCAGAGGCTGAAAATAGGCCCGAATTCCTCCGGAGGGGGGCAAGTGAATTTTTGAACATTTGAGGCATCCATGGGCTGGACAGGCTCCTCAGTCCATTCACAGGGACAGTAAAAACACACCAGTCCCAGGGTAGCTCGAGAAGGCTTGTGCAGAGCTGGCAAATAGGCCCCGCCCCTCTTTGGGAGTGTTGAACCCTTCACTAGCCACTGCTGGGCATCATCTCTGTGATCCCCAAGAGCAGAGGCCTTCAAGGGTCTGTAAGAGAGGGCCACAGACCTCCCCAACTAATGCTCCCTCTGGCTGCCACTGCCCATTAACCCTCTGGATGGAAGGCTCAGCCCCTTCCACGAATGCCCCTAGGACCCTCAGATCATCCTTGGTGCCTCCCGAGGATCCTGTGCTGCTCAGAACCCCCAACCCCGAAGTCTTGAGCAACCCCAGGTGAGAGGCACAACTAAGTCCATCCAAGTGTCGCCACTGCCCCCCTTGCCCTGCCGGGCCACAGTCTCCCAGATGCGGGCAGTTTGAAGAGGGAGAGGCAGTTAGAAGCTAACATTTAAAATGGTCACATGACAATGACGAGTTCAAGGTTCTAAATTCCAAGCCTCTTCACTCAAAGACAGATTTTTAGGTTTTTTGTTGTTTGTTTGTTAGTTTTTTTCATTTCCACCAAGGTCAAGTGCACCGGGCTGACAAGCTACAATGCTGTGAGGACACTGGGGAGAGCGGGGAAGTGTTTTTGGTGTGGGGCCCATCTCTCCAGCTGGATGGCAGAGCCGGCTTATGAGCCTGATGCCCAATACCACGAGTGGTGCCCAGGACAAGGATGACAGCGATGGGCCCATCCGGATGCACACATCAATCAGACCACTTAAGTTCCTCCAACCTGAGATAGGGGAAAGAAAAAAAAAAAAAAGAGCCCTGTGGCTAACAATGTACCCTCACTGCCCCTGTTTTATAGAAGACACAGAGCTGGAGTTTAGTACCTCCAGGACTGAGCCAAGGTCAACCCTCAGCTAGTCAGTCCTTGGGTGGGTCCTTGATCAGACTGGTACAGAGCCAAGCTATGACTCAGGGCTTGGTGAACCTTGTCTATAAAGTACTAGGCAGTAAATGACTTAGGCTTTGTGGGCCGTGTCTATCTAGATCACATATTCTTTGTATTTTTTTCTTTTTTTTTCTTACAATGTACTAAAACTCTTTTTTTTTTTTAAAGATTTTATTTATTTATTTGACAGAGAGAAATCACAAGTAGGCAGAGAGGCGGGCAGAGAGAGAGGAGGAAGCAGGCTCCCTGCTGAGCAGAAAGCCCGACATGGGGCTTGAACCCAGGACCTGGGATCATGACCTGAGCCGAAGGCAGCGGCTTAACCCACTGAGCCACCCAGGCGCCCCTAAAACTCTTTTTCAAAAAAAAATTCTTAGCTCCAGGGCTCGGCAAAATAACCCAGGCCTACTGCCAGAGTTTTGCTGCCTCCTTTTCTAAATCAGTGCGCTGCTGGGGCCTCACCAAAATAGGCCCAGACCACTGACATTCCCCACCTCACTGCACACAAATCACCAGTTTAAATGAGGCAGATAGCAAAGAAGAGTCCAGAGGGTTAACGGGGCTCCAGACTTTTTTTAGGTAAGTAATCAGGGTATGTGCAAAGACAGAATGACAAAGGTATGTGCTGTTTATAATGGGGGGAACCTAAGGAAACAGCAATAGCCATTGGACAAATAATGACACAACCAGACTCTGTTGTACACTGCAACCACTAAAAATGTATATATTGAATCTTCCTCTCCACGAAATTAGATTAGATCCAAATATATAGGAGAGACAAACCATGTTCATGGATTGGCATACCCAATATTCAGATATCCCTTCTGGGGGCGCCTGGGTGGCTCAGTGGGTTAAGCCTCTGCCTTTGGCTCAGGTCATGGTCTCAGGGTCCTGGGATCGAGCCCCACATTGGCCTCCCTGCTCGGCAGGGAGCCTGCTTCCCCTCTCTGTCTGCCTGCCTCTCTGCCTACCTGTGATCTCTCTCTCTGTCAAATAAAGAAATAAATAATCTTAAAAAAAAAAAAGATATCCATTCTGCCCCAAATTGGTCTACAGATTCGATGCAATCTCAGTGAAAATCCGAGCAAGCTTTCTTGCAGAAATTGTCAAGCTAATTCTAAAATGTATACAGAAAAAAAAGACCTAAAGGAGCCCAAACAATTTGGCAAAAGCACAAAATCTGTAGACTTATATCATCTGACTGAAGACTCTCTATAAAGGTTTAGTAATCAAGTCAGGGTGGCATTGGCTCGAACACAGACACATGGCTCGAGGGAACAGAAGCAAGTGTCTGGAGTTAGACCCGCACATATGTGGTCGAATGATTTCAAAAAAGGTACTGATAGGGGTGCCTGGGTGGCTCAGTCAGTTAAGCATCTGCCCTCAGCTTGGGCCGTGATCTCAGGGTCCTGGGATTGAGCCCCGCACTGGACCCCATGCTCAGCAGAGGCATCTGCTTCTTCCTCTCTCTGTCCCCCCACTCATTCTCTGTCCGCCCCCCACTCATTCTCTCCCTTACCCTCGAATAAATAAAAATTGTTGTTTTTTTTTTTTTAAAGGTACTGATATAATTCAATGGGCAAAAGACAGTCCTTTCAACAGAGGCTCTGTATATGGGGAAAAATAGAACCTTTAAACCCTACCTCACACCATACACAAAACTTATTTAGAAATGGATCACAGACTTTATGTAATTGGTGGTCAACAGAGGGTTTAAAAGATCTTCCCTTTCTTCTTGTTCTTCTCCAAGGTTCTGGCAGAGTCAGGTTACTCTAAAATACATCCTTGAGATGCTCCACTTGCTTTCTCATTTTCAAACTGGTGACATCTTCCCCCAATTCTTTTTCCTCTAGTTCTTCATTTGCTTGTGGCGCCGCCAGAGCTCAGCTTCAGAGCCCTTCGGTTTTCCACCTTTTCCTCTGGCCTTCACACCAACCACTGCTGCATCTACAGCTCCTCCAGCTGAGCCACGCGCTCCCTCCTTCCATGCGCACCGGAGGGCTCTGGGCAGCCGCCCTGGCTCCTGGCAGCTCCGTCCTGCTGCCGCACATCTCAGCACCTAGGTGACCAGGGACATCGTCCAAGACCTGCACATGTGTTCTTAGCAACCCACTTCTTAGGATGGTAAAACCCCAAAGTCCACCGTTCTCAAGCCCGGCAGCAGCCCCCCGCCTCCGACTCTTCTGCCCTTCAATTCGTTCTGCGACTACTGCCTGCCGCAGCGAGAGGTAAACAGTCCTTCGTGTTTTTAACAAGCTTTCTCTCTTCCTCATCTTCTGTTTCCAGAAATTCATGTTTCTTTTTATTTTTTTTTTAAGATTTTATTTATTTCAGTGAGTGAGTGAGAGAGAGGGAATGAGCGGGGGGAGGATGAGAGGGAGACGGACAAGCACAGTCCCCACTGAGGGGGTAACCTGCTATGGGGGTCAATCCCATGACCCCAGGATCATGATCTGAGTCGAAATCAGATGCTTAACTAAGACTGAGCCACCCAGGTGCCCCAACACCACCTCCTTTGATTAAAACTCTGAACTGTTCTGGCTACACAGTCTCGTCTATTGTGGGGGAAGCGCTTGGATGTTCTGGAGACGACAAATCTGTGAGGCACAGGACTTGATTAACATCCACGTTCCCAATCCAGATTCACCTACTGCCATAATGTGAGTTCAAGCCCCCTGCCCACCGATTTTCTGTACATGTGGTTTGGGAGCTTTGCAAAGCCGGCAGAGCCTTCAAGGTCCGTCTGTGGAGCCACCATGTGCTGCCGCAGACATGCCTCCCCCAGCGGGGGCGGACACACGCCACCCCACATCCCTCTCCCCTCCCCTAGCAGCCCCGACGCGGCCCCGGCGGCCAGTTCTCCTGACCTCAGATTTAACAGCAGCAAACATTAAAACTCTAGAACTTCTAGGGTAAATCCTAGGAGAGAAGCTCTGCCACTCTGGCATCTGCAAAGATCTTAGGACATGGAAGGTGTTCGTTATACAAAGAAACATGGAAAAACTGAACTTTCTTCAAAATTAAATACTTTTCTTTTCAAAAGATGCTGTTAGGGGAATGAAAACGCAAGCTGCAGTCTGGGGGAAAACGTTCACTATACGTGTATCTAACAAACATCCACGATATATGAAAAACTCTTAGAACCCAGAGAAAACTGCCCAGTTTTGTGAAACAGCAGAAGGACCGAGCAGGTACTATACCAGGTAAGAACGGCCAACAAGCACACAAAAGCGTGCCCAGCTTCCTCTGCAGAGAACACCTCACAGCACCGAGGACACCCAGAAATAATAAAATCCTCAACACCAGGTGTTGCTGAGGATGTGAAGGAATCTGCCTGTATTGATAGGACAGGCAGATTGATAGGAGTGTAAAACAGTATCAAAAGCTGGAAAAGAGCCAGGCAGCTTCCTACAAAGTCAAGCTTACACTTATCCCATGACCCTGCAATTCCACCATTGGCTATTTGCCCAGGAGACATGAAAACACACCTCCACACCAAGACTTGTACGCAAACATTCGTAGCAGCTTTAGACGGAACAGGCCCAAATTGCAAAGACCTCTCAGTGTCCAACCGCAGGAGACTGAAGCTAACAGACATTGTATTCGTATAACGGGACACTACTCGAAATCAAAAAGAACCCCGGATATGCACAGCAAGGTGGGTCAATTCCAGACACATTAAGTTGAACAAAGAAGTCAGATACAAAAGAGTCTATATTCTAGGATTCTCTTTGAAACAGAAAAAACTAACTGAAGGTGTTAGAAATTGGGTCAGTGGTTGCCTGGGGTGGAAGCTGAGGCTACACTGTTAAGACGCCCAGAGGGAACGGTCCGTGGTGTTGTAATGTTCTAGATCTTGACTGAGATGGGATTTAGCCACGGCT